TGTAATAGGTATAGGCTGAGAATTTTCCAGATCTTCAAGTTCTTGTTCCTTTTTATTTAAGAATTCCTTCTATTTATCTCTCCTCTCTCGTTTTATTGTAAGCAGTAGAAAGAAACCAGATCACATCTTTAACACACTACTCAGAAATCTCCTCAGCTAAGTATCCAAGTTCATTGCTTTTCACTTCTAATTTTCCATGACACTGTAAAGTATAATCAGCCAAGTTCCTTGTACTTTATAACAAGGATCATTCTTCCAGTTTCCAGTAAGATGCTCCTCCTTTCCATCTGAGATCGCCCCGGAATCACCTTTAACATGTATATTCCTACCGACAGTCATTTCAAGGTAATTCTAGCTTTTTATAACATAAACCTCAAAAGTCTTTCAGCCTCTACCCATTAGCCAGCTGCAAAGCCACTAACTTATTTTTAGATATTTGTTACAGTAGCACCCCACTATGGTACTAAAATCTGTATTCGTTTGCTAGGGCTGCCGTAACGAAATACCACACATTGGGGTCTTAAACAACAGAAATGTATTTCTCACCATTCCAGAGGCTGGAAGTCCAAGATCAAGGTGTCAGCAGGTTTGCTCTCTCCCGAGGCCTCTCACAGGAGATGGTCATCTTCCCTCTGTGTTTTCTACCGGCCTTTTGTTTGTGTGAGAGCATCCCTGGTGCCCTTTCCTCTTCTTATAACACCAGTGCTATTGGTTGAGGGCTCCCCACTGTTGTGACCACATTTAATCTTAATTACCTCTTTGAAGGCCCTATCTCCAAATACAGTCACATTGAGGGGTTAGGGGCTCAGCATATGAATTAAAGGGGTGCACAATTTAGTAATACTGATAAACTGGATTTCACCAAATTTAAAACTTTTATTCTCAAAAAAAGAGCCTGAAGAAAATGAAAAAGCCAGCCACTGAGAAAAAATATATTCACAGTATTTACACTTGTATAAGACTTGTATCCAAATAGATTAAGAACCCCTACATCTTAATACTGAGAAGACAGGGCAGGGGGTGGGAAGGGACAGACTTGGATTTCAAAGTTTATAGATACTGACAGGCATATGCAGAACAGGCAAACAAGATTATACTGTATAGCACAGGGAAATATATACAAGATCTTGTGGTAGCTCACAGAGAAAAAAAATGTGACAATGAATATATGTATGTTCATGTAAAACTGAAAAATTGTGCTCTACACTGGAATTTGACACAGCATTGTAAAATGACTATAACTCAATTAAAAAAAAGTTTAAAAAAAGAAGATATATCACCCAAAAAGATTTGAATAGTCACTTCACAAAAGAAGATATACAAGTGGACAATAAGCATATGAAAATATGTTCACCATTATCAGTCATTAGGGAAATGCAGAGTAAAACTACAGTGAAATACTGCTACACGCTCACTAGAATGGTTAAAATTAAAAGGTCTGACAATACTAAGTGTAGGCAAACATGTGGAGTAACTCTCATGCAATTGGCCCTTCATATTCAGGGGTTCTGCATCCATGGACTCAAGCAACCATGGGTCAAAAAAAAATATTTGTTTTAATCCAGAAAGTTCCAAAATGCCAAATGTGAGTTTGCCACACAAGGACAACTATTTATGTAGCATTTACATTGTATTTATAACTATTTATATAACATTTTGTATTATAAGTAATCTAGAGATGATTTAAAGTATATAGGAGGATGTGAATAGGTTATATGCAAATACTAGACCATTTTATATAAGGGAATTTAACATCCACAGATTTCAATACCAAAAAGGGGTCCTAGAGCCAGTCCCCCATGGATAATGACTATACATGGTTGGTGGGAACTACAATGGTACAGTCAGTTTGGAGAACAGCTTAACAGTTTCTTGTAAAGTTACATATTCATGGGGGAAGGCTAAATTAGGAGTTTGGGATTAACATAGACACAGTACTATATACAAAATAGATAAACAACAAGGACCTACTGTATAACACAGGGAACTCTATTCAATATCTTTTAATAACCTAAAAAGAAAAAGTTACACATTTAGTTACCGAGTTCCCCAGATTCAACCCCTAGATCTTTAGCCAAGAGATATGAAAACATATGTCCGTACAAAGACTTGTACATGAACTTTCATAGCAGCTTAATTCATAATAGCCCTGTTGTGGACTGAATTGTGTCCCCTCTATAGTCACTCACGTGCTGAAGCCCTAACACTCATGTGACTGAATTAGGAGATAGGGCCTTTAAAGTGGTATTAAGATTAAACGTGGGGCTAAGGGTAGAGCCCTGATGCAGTAGGACTGGTCTCTATGAGAAGAGGAAGGGACACCAGGGATGCTCTCGCACAAGAAAAAAGGCCATGTAAGAACACAGTAAGGAGGTGACCATCTCCTAAGAGAGGCCTCAGGAGACAGCAAACCCGCTGACTCCACGATCTTGGACTTCCAGCCTCCAGAATGGTGAGAAATACACTTTCCGCTGCTTCAGCCCCCTAGTCTGGCATTTTGTCACGGCAGCCCTGGCAGACTAACACGACAGGTTTCTTTTCTTTTGTAGTAAAGGCTCTTGTTGTCCTAAGAACTACTTGCCTGACTCGAGGTCACAAAGATCCCCTTCTGTGCTTTCTTCTGGAAGTTGTCTAATTTCAGCATGTATGTTTCAGTTCTCTTTTATTGTGAAAACTTTCTCTCTTTTCACTTTCTGTTTCTTTTGAGGCATTATCTGTTGTTTTGATTTGCTCTACGTTTCTTCTAATTGATTCCTCATTTCTGAAATGCAGTTGTTTTCTTTTTTTAATCTGATTCTTTCCCTTGTTCTGTTACCTTCTTTCTGGGCTTCTCTGATTCTGTTTTGTGTTGTTCTTTCATGTCTTGTATCATTTTAAAATGTCCTTTAGCCCGGTTGGAAGTAGCAGTTCACAGATTTGATCTGTTTGTGGATGTGTTTTTAGCATGCGTTTTCTGACTGCTTCATTCAGTCAATTGCTTAGCTTATTAATTTCTATTCTTCCTTATTTTCTGTTATAAATGTTTATAGCTGTACGTGTCCCTCTAAGTATTACTGAGCTGCACCTCAAATCTTTATTTGCATTATTTTCATCATCATTCAGTTTTAGAGATTTACTAACTTCCCTAATTCTTTCTTTGATCCATGAGTCATTTTAAAACACTTAAAAATGGTCAAACTTTCTTTAGTTCTCTTTTTTGTTAATGACTTTTAACTGGATTATTTGCAGTCAGAGGAAGTAGTTTGAGAGATACCTATTCTTTGAAATTTCTTGAGAATTGCTTTATTTTTGTTAATATCTGTTAATATTTTGTCTATAGTATCTGTGTGGCTAAACCCATTTCTTGTTTTTTCTGTTTATGTCCATTAGATCAACTCTGATAATTATGTAGTTCATTTTTTGAAATATTGACTAATTGGTTTTTTTGTTTAATTGTCAATTACTGAGTGAGGTGTATTAAAAATTTCTCATTGTAATTGTGGATTTTCTAATCCTTCCTGTAGTTTTGTGTTTTTTGGCTGAATAGAGTTTGAAGCTACTTAGTAGGCAGGTATAAGTTAGAATTTTTATATCTTCCTGGTAAATGGAACCATTTACTGTTGTGTACTGATTCTTTTCATCTTTAGTAATGCTTTGAACTTTGAAGTCTCTATTTTGTCTCATATTACCAGTTCCTTTTTTTGTTAAAGTTCACATGGTCTAACACCAGCAAGAAACAAAACGGGGGAATTCTTCCCTCAAATCAGTTCTCTTTGCCTACGCACATCTCAGCCTTTTCCTTTCACCCCTTGCTCAGCCTCAAAGCCCAGGAAGAGTCCCCAGTTCTCCTTTGCCTCACATTCCACATCCAATCCATCAGCAAGTCTTATCAGCTTTGCCTCCAAAATATACCCTCCATCCAACCTCATCTTGCCATCTCTACCCCCATTCTCTCTGGACCACTGCTGCGCCTCCTAGCTGGCTTATCAGAGTGATACTTTAAAAACATAAACTGGATAACCTCAGTCCCCCTATTCAGAACCTTCTGGCGGCTTCCTATCACACTTGGAATAAAATCCCAACTCCTTACCAAGATGGCGAGACCCTGCCTGCTCTGCCCACCCCCTCCACCCTCAGCTCCAGTCTGTCCATCTTCTGCCTCCTTGTCCACTGGCCACCCTGGCCTTGCTTTTTTCTGGACTGATCAAGCCCCTTCCCATCGCAGGGCTTTTACTTTTGCTGTCCTTCCCCCAGGCATTTTCCTTGCTCCTTCTCATCATCGCAGCCTCAGCTTCAACACTCCCTTCCTGGCCTTTCCTGAGCTGCCTTTGGAAAGCAGTCACCTCATGTTACCCTGTTATCACTGCACTTACCAGCCCCTGGATCTATCTTGTTGACATGATGATTGTCTCACATCCCCTTCCACCAGCATGGAAATTCCTAAGGGCAGGACTTTGTCTGTCATGTATCACTAATTCCCCAAGAACATGCCCAGCAAGCAGGTCCCGTCTCTGGATCTCAGTGTTCTCAGGAGGTTGGAGTCATGAACTGTTGTTTTCCCCTCTGACATCTGCACAGCACCCAGCATGGTGCCCGACATACAGGAGGTGGTCCATAAGTGCCTGAACAAATACACATGTGGAAAATGGTTACTAGTCTTAACAACAGCAGCCACCACAATGGCCCTGTGGGGAGGCGTGACAGATGAGGAGACGGACGCTTAGGGTGGTGACTGCGTAAGGTCCCAGGGCTCATGAGAGGCAGAGCCAGGATTCCCACCCTCATCTGTCACCAAAGGCCCTGAGCTCCTAACTGGATTGTTCTCATTCTGTCTCAGCCAGTGATTGGCTAGCTGAACAGATGGGTGGATGGACCGTCAGGTGGGACAGAGGGACGAGTGATCACATGTTCTCCAAGTTTCCTCACACCAAGAGGGTGACTCCATGTCCTGCTCTCTCCTGTCTCCTCCCTCAGCTCTGCAACCCCCAAACGGTGGCGAAGAGTGGATAAGTGTGCAGGGATCAAAGAGCTGGTGTGTTCTCTGATGTGCCTGGAAAAACAGGACCTGTGCAACAAGTTCAAGGGGCGCGTGCAAGCGGCTTCTCCCAGCGCCCGGTCCCCCTGGGTGGAGTCGAATTCCATAGATTACCTTTTTGAAGGTAGGTGAGGGACCTGTGGGAGGCTCTCTGTCCAGGAGCTGGGCTCAGTGCGGCTGCTGTCCTAGTCACCTGTCTCCCACCTCCCCAAAACAGTGGGCAGCCCGCCATGGGCCCTGGCAGCCCGACTTCGTGGCAGGGAGTGAGAGGAGGTGACCAGCACCAGCAATTCAGTGTGTGCCTCCTGCTAATGTGGTCCGTTACCTTTTATTGAGCACAACCTTGGTCGTGAACTACACAAGGCGCTTTATATGCTCATACCTACTTTTTTATGTTCAGTCTCTCTCTTTGAGAAATAAAAAAAATTAAAGTAATTTCTGTACATTGTAGAAATTTGTGGGGAAAAGAAGACGAAATAGAAAAGATACATTCCCTATGCTTATGGCATCAGAAGTCGCCAGTGTTCACACTGAGTGAGGAGAGCACTTTTTTTCCCACGATATATTTTATTTCTAATCTTCACAACAAACCTGTGAGGTTTGTTTTCATCAACCCATTTTTTAAAAAATAAGCAAAACAAAACTCTTCGAGGTTAAGGAACTTGCCAGCTAGTAAGTGGTGGAGATGGGCGTGAAATGGCCCTTTCTGATCGTAGACAAGGCACTGGATCGGGTCAAGAGTGAGATGGGGTGGTAAGAAGAGAAGGATAAATACTCAGACAATCGCTGGGCAGAGGGTATAGCCCAGTTGTACAGCACATGCTCAGCAGGCACGAGATCCTGGGTTCAATCCCCAGTACCTCCACTAAAAAAAAAAATACTCAGACAACAGCCTCATGGAGCTGAGATCTGTAACTTGTTGTCCAAGCTTCTGAGGACAAAATAGGGCTTGAAGGAACGGGAAGAAGGGATTAAAATAAGGATGGGGCAGGAAAGAATGGCAGAGAAGAAAGAAGGGATGATTTGGATGGGAGGAAGCTGACTGGGTAGATGGATAGAAAGAGGAAAAGGATGGATGGGGAAGCAGAAAGGAAGTATGGAGAGGATGGAAAGGGAGTGATGATGAGATGAGTGGGAAGGAAGGAGACTAGATGGAGGGATAAATGCTCACAAGGAAAGAAGCAAGTATGGATGGAGAGATGGAGGATAGGAATGAAAGCAGATGATGGATCAGTGAGTAGAGAGCATAGAAGGAAGGCTGGCTGCCTGGGAAGGAAAGGAAGGATGAGAGGGGAGGAGAGGCAAAGGATAAAGGAAAAACAAGGTGGAAAGATGTCTGGAAAGAAAAGAATGGATGGATGGGAAGCATGGAGGAGTAGAAACAAAAACATAGGCTGATTGGCTAGATAAAAGGAAGGAAGAAAGTATAAATGAATAGGAAGAAAGGATGGATAGGAAGGAAGGGATGTCGGTTGGAAAGAAAGGAAGGCAGGATGATTAAGAAGAAGGAAGGACCATTGAGAAATATGAGTGAATGGGAAGGGAAAGGATGGATAGATGGATGTAAAGGAAAAGAAAGAAGGGAAGGCAGGCAGAAAGACTGGCTGGAAGGATGATGGATGAACCACTGCAGTGGTTGCATGGATAGGAATAAGAACTAGAACAGTAGGGAAAGATGCAGAGAAGAGGTTACTTTTTTTTTATTAATTCTTTTTACCTTCTCCTCCTTGAAGCTCTTCTGATTCCCCTACATCACACTTCAAGTCCCAGTGACCTTTCTTCTGCTGCCCTCAAATGTGGCCCTGGTCACTTTCTTTCCTGAATTTCAGTAGTTTGCATATTTCATTTTCCCCTAATTTCTTCCAACTCCTGGAGGTCAAGGTTTGTGGAGGCCTCATCTCCCATTCCCTCCCTGCCCAGGGCTGAATACATATCAGTGTCCAGTAGATATTTCCTGAACACATAAGTAGTGGTATCTGGGGGAAGCCACATGTTTTCCCTGAGCAGAAATGCAGGGTAGGGATGACCAGTGTGGTCAGAGCTCCTGCAGGCTGGTAATCAGGGAGGGCTGTATGGAAAAAGTGGCATTTCGGCTGGACCTTGAACAGTGGTGTATTAATTTTCTCTTATTGCTTTATTCCTTGCCTCCTGCATCTTCAAACCATCAGTCACACCTAGATGACCTTGTACAGACTGTCAGTAGAAATATGGACGTTAAAGACTGCCAGTGAGGGCTCACAAGGAAGTGAGTAGCATCCTAGAGAAAACCTAAATCTCCTTCAAGAATACTTAAATCACCCTGAACAGACTGTTAGTAGAATTATGGATGTTAAAGGCACTGCCTCAAAGAAGGAAGTGAGGAATGTGTTGCTGAAAATTTAAGGAAGGGAGAAGTTGAAACAACACTGTAAACTGACTAAAACTTAATTGGAAAAAAAAAAGAAAATTTGAGGAAGGAGAATGCCTCTTACATACTGGCAAAAAGATTAGCAGAATTGTCCTGCAGGTTTTGGAAAGCAGAACTTGTAAATGGTGAATTTGGATATTTAATCAAGGTGATTTCCAAGTAACATCCTGGTCTATTCTTGGTAATTATAGCAAAACACAAGGAGAAAGAGAGAGAGAAATTGAAAACAGCCTAAACAAAAAGGAACCAGGACTTTAAAATTTGGGAAATTCTCAACCTATCCAGATGGCCAGAGAGACTAAAATGAAAAAATTGCTTCCAAGAGTGTGAAGGAGAGAAGTAGCCAAGTGTGTGGTTGTACAGCCATTTACTAAGACCCCAGAAAGATCAAAAATGTTCAGTCAAAAAATGGCTCTTTGAAGAGGATTTAAGGGCATGACTCAGTTTCCCTCAGTCAAATCGAGGGGCCTCTTGAAAGCTAAAGTGGCACCCCTCAACCAGCTCAGCAAAAGCCAAAAATCGAGAGGGGCTTATTTCAGAACGATTTGTGGAACTAGCATCTGTCTAATGGAGTGGGTCCCCGTGACATCCACAGGAGACCCGTAAAATTCTCAAGAATTTTATATCAGCAGAAACACTGCCAGCTTGGACGAGAAGGGACGGAGAGAATATGAAATGAAAGAAGGCTGTTACCCATCCCCCCGTCCCAGTTTCCACTGGAAAGAAGCAGACTGGTAAAACGACCTAGCTTGCAAGTAGCTGCTACCTTCCATGAAAAGGAAGGATGATTCAGAGGGTGGAACCAAGAGCCCAGAGAGCAGTGCTGAGAGCCAGAAGTACTTCCCAGACCTTAACACCTAATGGAGTTCACCTGGCAACATTTCAAAACTGCTTTCGCCCAGTGATTCCTTTTTACCTTCTATTTCTCCCTGTTTGAACCAGAATGTCTAAAACGATTATCCTGTGCCTTTGCCACCATCTCATGTTGGGAGCCGATAACATGTACTTTCTTTTCACGGGCCCACAAATGGATGGCAGTTGTGCCCCAGGAGTCACACTGAATAGATTGTACCCAGAGTCTCACCTGAACCTGATGTAGATACTTCAGGTGATGGGATTTTGGAATTTGAGTTGATGCTGTAATGGGATGAGACCTTGGGGGACCTTGGGATGGGGTGAATGGATGTTGCAGTTGGGAGGGACGTGAATCTGGGGGAGTCCAGACCATGATAGGCAGAATGACTCCCCTAAAGATGTTCATGCCCTAATCCCTGGAACCTCTGAATATGTTAGGTGTTACTATTACATGGCAAAAGGGATTTTAATTAAGTTTATGGACCTTAAAATAGTGAGATTATCTTGGATTATCAAAATGGGCCCAGTCTAATCCCATGAACCCTTAAAAGCAGAGAACTCACTCCAGCTGGAAGCAGAAGAGATGTTGAAGAAGGGAAAATCAGAGAGATTTGAAGTGAGAAGGATTCAGCCATGGTGTTCCTCACTGGAAGATGAGGGGCAATGTGATTGGAAATGTAGATGCTTTCAGGAGCTGAGAGAGGCTCCCAGCCAACAACCAGCATGGAAACAGATCTCTGCCTGACAACCACAAGGAACTGAATTCTGTGGACAACCTGAATGAGCCTGGAAGTGAATTCTCCCCCCAGAGGTTCCAGTAAGAGTCCAGGCCAACTGACACCTTGATTTCCAACCTGTGAGACTAAGAGTTGAGGACCCCATCGAGTCGACCCACACTCTGACCTACAGAACTGTGAGATAATAAATCTGTGTTGTTTTAAGCCACGTGTTATGGCAGCAATAGAAAACTTATACAAATGAGCAGGATTCTGCCAGATCAATGATGTGTGAAGGGCCGCCAGGTGGAAGGGACGGCAGGAGTCACTGTCTCTGGGCTGGGTGAGAAGCAGGCCTGCCTGGGGGCAGGCGGATGGATGCTCTGTGGCCCAAATGGTACTGACAGGTCCTGTTCTGTTTCTGTCAGTGGAGCCGGCCCCGCCTGTCCTGGTACTCACCCGGACAGAGGAGATCCTGAGTGTCAATGCCACATACCAGCTACCCCACTGCGTGCCCCCACCGGATCTGAACTATGAAGTGGATTTCTGGAAGGAGGGGACCAGGAACAAGGTGAGAAGCCCCTTTCACACCCCCAGGCTGGGTCCCCTTCCTCACTTCCCAGCAAACCCCAGTGCTCCTCACACTCCCAGCCTATTCCCTGAATGCCTCCTCCAGGAAGCCTTCCCCACATACCTCTCACTCCTGACAGTCACCCCCTGACTTTGCACAGTGTGGCTGGCCTGTGGCCCACCTCTGCCCCTCTCCACCTGAGAGGCCAAGTTCAGGGCATCTTGCCCCTTCACATAACAGGTAGTAATAGCACAGTGGTTTTCTATCTTTTTCTTTTACTTATGAAAACTTCTTTTTTAAAAAATAAAATCTGATTGAAGTATGATGGGCTCCAGAAGACCTACTTGCCAAGCCACCAGATTCATCAGAAAAACACTAGAATACGCTAATAAGTTCTGGGAAGACAACCGGAAGTACCCAGAGATGATTGCAAATAACTCTGGTGTATTTCCAATTTCAGACTTGTTCTGTGTATGCATGTGCACATGTCTGTATATATTTATTTGTGGCAGGGGTTGGCAAACTTTTTCTGCAATTGGCCAGATAGTAAATATTTCTGGCTTTGCGGGCCATACGGTCTGTCACATGTATTCAACTCCATCTGTAACACGAAAGGAACCCTAAGTAAGTAAGTACGTGAACAGGTGTAGCTGTGTTCCAGTAAAACTCTCTTTTCAAAAACAGGTGGGGCTGTAGTTTACTGACCCCTGTTCTTATTCATTCCTTCTTTTACTGAACCAAGGCTCACACACCTGACTTCCTGCACACTCTGGCTCCCAGGGATGTAGATCTTCATCTGATGTGGTCCCTGCCTTTAAGAACCTCACAGATACTTTCAAACACTCCAGTAGAAATATAATGCAAGCCACAATGTGTAATTTTAAATGTTCCACATTAAAGGAAGTAAAAGGAAGCAGGGGAATTTAATTTTCAAAATGGATTTTATTTCATCCAATAGAACATTATCATCTCAACATATAATTCCCTGTAAAAATTATTGATCTGTTTTATGTTCATTTTTCACTTAGTCTTTGAAAGCCAGTGCATATTTTACACTTAGAGCACATCTTGATTTGTCCCAGCCGCCCTTCAAGTACTCAGTAACCACATGTGGACAGTGGCTAGTCTACTGGACAGGCAGCCCTAGAGTTCTCTGTGTCGGTAGTGGCTGAATGATCACTCCCACCTCCCCTGCAATTGATAGGGAGGACCTGAGGGTAGGAAACCTGAGGAATCTGCCCCTGACAGTGAGGACCAGAGGGCCCTGGTGGGGTGTACATGGGACTGACCCCGAGTAGTATGGCTACTTTTGACCCCAGACCATCTCTACGTCAAGACTCAGTGGAAGAGAGTTGGGAAGTTCTCCATTAATGTTTAAACCTGAATGCAAGAAAAGAAGATGTGGAAATCACAGCTGTGTCCCGCCTGCCAACCCCACCCTGTCCTGGTTGTACAGGGCAGTCCCCACAGCAGGTCTACCCACCTCTGCTTCTCTCTCCAAACAGACCCGATTTCCAGTCACTCCCCATGGCCAGCCAGTCCAGATTCCCCTCCAGCCAGCCACCAGCGGACACCACTGCCTCAGCGCCAGAACCATCTACACCTTTGGTGACCCTAAATACAGCGAGTTCTCCGAGCCTACTTGCTTCTTCCTGGAGGCCCCAGGTGAGTGCAGAGTGGTACAGAAGTAGGGACATCTCCACAGGCCCTTAGATCCTCATAATATGGTAGTGAAGACCACAAGTCTAGAAACAGACTCACCTCAATTAAAATCCCAGCTCGCCCCACTTGCTGTGTGTCTTTGAGCAGCTTACATAACCTCTCTGAACCCTGGCTTCCACAGTATATAGGATGGGTTCTTTCTTATGAGTATTAAATAGGATAATGTATGTGAAGCCCTCAGCACATATGCAGTTGATACATAGGACCCCCTGCTTCTCCAGTTGTTATTATTTTTTTCTTCCTAGGCTCCAACTGGGCATTCCTGGTGCTCCTACCACTTCTGCTGCCACTGCTGGTGGTGGTTGCCACAGGGTGTGTGATCTGGAAGAGCTTCAAGGGGAACCCCTGGTTTCAGTGTGCAAAGATGCCACAGGCCCTGGTATGGCAAATCTGGGGGTGTGCAACAGAGAAGGAGGGTTGTTGAAGAGTAAGGAAGTGAAGCTAGACTTAGAGGTAGTTCAGATAGAATATTGAGATGGTCCTGACTGTAAAACATCTATCTTCCTGTCTAAATTTTCACCATTAGTAATTCATTCCTTTGGCACCAAATTAAAATAGTAAATATGCCAGGGAGGGACACATGCCTTAAGTCCCTTTTTAAAATAACTTCATCTCTGCTAAGGATTTGTTAGGTGCTGAGAGCAGAGCCCCCAGCCTTGGGACTCAGGAGAGATACCCAGAGGGGAGGCGAGGAGGGTGGCACCAAAAGGGGACATCTTAAAAGGGTCCCAGCACTTAGTTCATAATCTAACCGAGGGTGAGTCTTGCCTCGGCAGACCCTGGAACTTCCTCGCCAGTCTGCTAGCTCACTCACTTAGAACCTGGGAGCCAGCTGGGGCAGGGGATGCCTGGAGAGGTCGGAGGTGTCAGACTTGTTCACGTGAAGGCCAGGAAAGGGAGGCTGGGCCATAGGAGGCTCAGTGGGCCCTCAGGCCAAGTGGAAGCTTTAAGGATGGACTCTTGAGTGTCCCTGCCACACAAGAGTGTTTTCAACATTCCCGGCTCCGGGACCTGCAGGGAACTCCCATTCACTGCAGGACCACCTCTGTGTTAGATGCGTCTGCATCTTGCCCTATCCCTCCACCTTCCCATTATGTGAAAAGTCACCAGCTTGACCTCTGCAGTGGGCACCTGCAACCTGGGGCTTTCTCTGGCCTCTGGGGTCCACTCTGCCCCTGCACACGACAGGCTGCAAGTGCCAGGGAATTCGCACCGCCATAGTGCTTCCACCCCTCACCCAGCAGTGCTCTGAGGCGCACGTGCTGCAGTGGCTCCGAGTCCCCAGCAGGGCTAAGCTCCAGCTGCCCTAGGGGGTCACTTGCCTGATTACACCCGCTATCGGCTGCTCTCCCTTGCTGCCACTTCCTGGGATTGCTTCCCAAAGAAACTACTTACATTTGTCTCAGGGGCTATTTCCAGGGGACCCCAAATCAGAACAGCCATGCTTCAGGAAAGGCTGAATTTTCTTCTCTCCCTTCCCCAAATTAGGATTTCTCTGGACACAGACACCCCAGGGCAACATTTCAACCCAGTGGCCCAGACTGCCTGCATGACTTGATCCTCTGTCCCCAGAAAGACCTGACTGGAAGAGTCAGGCTGACCCCTAGAGTCAGGGCCCCTGCCACCGTCCAGGCAAGATCAGAGAAGGACAGTGCCAAGGAGGAGCAGGACCACAAGGAGGACACGGACAAGGAGGACACAGACGACGATGTCAGCTTCCAGCCCTACATCGAAACGCCCCTCTTCTTGGGTGGGGAGCACCAGATTCCAGGACACACTGGACCTCCTCTAGTCCAGGTCGAAGTCTCCTCTGCTTGTGATTCCTCAGACAGAAGCTGGGCCAGCACTGCAGGCTCCTCCCCCTGGGACGAGGCTGGGTCCTCTGGCTATTTGACCAAGAAGGGGCCAGGCCAAGGGCCTCTCCCATCATCTGAGTTCCCCGAGGATTCGAGCTCCCTGGAAGAGCCCCTGAAAGACGACCTCTCCTCCTGGGCGAGCTGGGGCTTATCATCAGGGCTGAATCTGGTCCCCAGAGAGCCCCTAGTTTCTCTTCGGACACTGACCTTCTGCTGGGACAGCAGCCCTGAGGAAGAGGAGGAGGAGGAAGATGAGGAGGAAGAAGATGGAAGGGAATCAGAAAGTAAGGACAGCCAAGCCAGCACCTGGGCAGTTGAGAGCCTCCGGAGGGCCGAGACCAGAGGTCAGACACTGGGGCATTACTTGGCCAGGTGAGCTGCCCCTGGCTTCTTGGTGCTGCCAAGCTTCCTGGGGACTCAAGAAACCCCCTAGACTTGAAAGCCTGAGAGCATCATCGCTGGGGCAGCAGGGAGTTCTTGCAGCCCTTTGGGGAACCCCAGCTGGAGGCTGTCTGCTAGGTTAAGCAGCCAGAAGCCACCCTGTCCTGTGACCTGCCAGCTTTGGGCTGATTGCCAAGAAGTGTAGAGCTGAGGATGGGCTGAAGTCAGAGGTTGGTTGGGTGTCAGATCACCCCCATTGTCCCTGGAGTGACAAGCCAGTTGGAAAAATCATCCCTGGACAACATGAAGCAGGTGAGGTCAGGCCACAGTGGACGTTGAAGGCTGATACCATAAGGGCCCATCTGGATTTGGAGGAGGGGAGAAAATCTGGAGGCACACCTGGTGTAGCAGAATCTTACACCTTTCTCCAGCACCCACTGGGCTCCCTCCCCCCTGAGTCTCAGCATCCTGATTCATGAGCCCCCTACAGTGGGCCTCGGTGAAGAAAAACCCAGTTGGCTGAGGGTATTGGAGAGGATGTGGGAGGGTGTCATCATTCAAATCCCAGTCCTGAGTCACATGTTGCACAGTTTTTGATATCAGACAGACCTGGGTCCAAATCCCAGCGCTGCCCTTTACTGGTTGTGTGGCCTTGTGGGAGGGTGTCATCATTCAAATCCCAGTCCTGAGTCACATGTTGCACAGTTTTTGATATCAGACAGACCTGGGTCCAAATCCCAGCGCTGCCCTTTACTGGTTGTGTGGCCTTGGGGGAGACACCTTCCTTCTCTACCTGAGTTTCCATGTTTGCAGGTACCACCTGGTGCAAGGGGAGGGTTTCCACAGAGATGTGTGTAGCACCATGCCTGCCAAACCATTGGCACATGTCACCTGGTGGCTGGTAGGACTCTCCATCCACCCAGGCTCTGAGGGGACCACCTGTGACCCTAAACTCAGAGCGACTGGAAGCGTCCACCTGTCAGCTTCTCACTTCTGGTCTGCCTCCTGCCCTCGCTGCCCCTGCCTCCTGGTCAGGACACTGAACTCTCAGAGCCAGAGCCCAGCCAAGGGGGACCCTGGTCCCTCCCCCTTTTCCCAGCCAAGAAAGAACTAACGGCCCACCTTCCAGGGCATCTGATTAACTCGTGAGGCTGGACCTGTGATCCCCGTCTTAGCACTTTAGACCCTTTGGTTGAACATTGTGTTTGTCAAGGAGTCCCATTTCCCCTTCCAGGAGTGAGAAACCAGTGTCTCCTGGAAACAAGTGACTGTCCTTCCCTGGGGGTCGTGATCGATGTTCTCAAACAACTGCTTTGTTAACCTACACCCAACAGTATGTGGATGAGCATAGCTGAATTTTCACCCATTAGACCAAGCTTTCTATGAGCTTTGTGACCAGGGATTGGAACAGTCAGTCAGTCCTTGGCTCTGTGACCTGGGGTCTGCCGCTTAACCTGCCAGGACTTAACGCTTTTCCATTTGTGTAGAAAGCATCTTCATAGCCATTTTAGCCACAGGGCTGTGTTGTTTTGAAGCCAACATGAGGATACAGCATAAAGGGAAAGATCTGGAAAAGCTTCTCCAGGGCATTTGGTCTAGGGGTTCCCAAGCAGTGCTCTCAAAAAGGCCCCAGGCTTCCTGCAAGGAGCCTCAATCTGGGGGGGAGCCATGGGCTGTCAGATGCCCCCGGTTCACCCAGAGCAGCCTCGCTGTGGCCTGACTCCCCAGCGGCCTCCCCCGTGACGTTGTGCTTAGGAGTTCCCACTGCTAAAGAAAAAGTGAGCAAACCCCTTTTGAAACTGAACACCTGCCTTTTGTTTCAAATGAAGGAGCTGAAATGCTGACTTACTGCGTATGTCCCTAAAGGTGAGATCTTTGGTCTCACCAGCTGGGCCAGCCCCTGTCCCCTCGGCCATGTCAACACAGTGCCGAGGTCTCAGCAAGGATTTCCAAGGGGCTCTAGGCTGGCAGGAGGCCTTCACCACCGCTGGGACTCAGGCACATGACAGCACACGCCCGTGCATACACTTCGTGTTTCTGCAAGGGTCTGCCTGCAGTGAGGCTTGTTCCACATACATTACTGAGGGCAGAAGAGGAAGAACAAACTGAAACCATGGAGCTGGAGAAGGCTGTGCCTCAGGGCCAGTTTCCAGGAAAATGCCCTTACCCAGACCAAGCCTAATGTCCTTTCTGGAACCAGCCAAGTTGCTTCAAGGAGGTTATTCCAAATAACTAACAGCTATCAGTTCTATTGTCTTCAGCTTGTGTGAAGGAACCACCTTATCTCTATTCGGAAGCCTTGTGAGGTTTTTTAAAGCATTTTTCCAAAGTTTAATTTCTCACATAGGCGGGGCTTTCTATTAATTCTAAATTCCAGCTTCTTTATAGTCATTAAGTTATAAATAAAAAACTGTGGGAAACATTAGGAAAGAGCATGCCAATCAGTAGAATCATTTGTCAGGTGTGCTCAGCACTTAACTGTTTACAAAGCCCTTTCCTGTCCCCAGCAGCCAGGAACTAGCGCCAGCTCCAGGGCCACGCGTGAAGGGCATCAGGGGAGAGCGGGTGACACCCTAGATGAAAGCCACATTACAGTTCCTCAGGGTACTGAGAAGCCTGCATATGGTTCTTGGATATTTATATTTATTTCTAATTTTATTTTATGTTTATACCATATTTAAATAATTTTCTAATGCTTGTTGGAACCTACCTTAAACCATTTTTAATAAAGAGCTCTATTTTTAGAAAAAAAAAGGCAGAATTGAATGGAAAAGTGTGTGCTCTCGTTTCTCAAAGGCTTCTCACCACTCATCTCACTGTTAAGACTAGAAGGCTCTTGGGTTGGGTCCCCAAAAGCAGAACCCAGAAACAATTGCGGGGTGCAAAGCAGCACAGCGATTCCAGAAAGTATTGCGAGGAAAGTGGGAAGAGAGGGAGGGGAGGCAGCCAGTCCAGGGGCGTAATCAAACAGGTCATAGCTCCGGGCCACTGGGACTCAGTCCTCCCGCGGAGCTTTGGGAGTTCAGTGTTGGAGCCTCCAGATTTGTTCCTGCGCCAGGGGCAGGAGCTGGGAATTTATTCCATCAGGCCTGTGTAGAAGGCCACTCCCTCCCACAGAGTCGCAGGTACCTGCAGTTGGAATCCATCAAGCTGAGTGCAGGAGAAAGGTGCTGCAGTGAGGCCAGAGCTGAACCTCGCCCCTGGCAGCTCACCCTTTTGCAACAGAGGTCCATGGAAGGACACAGAACATTCTATGCAGAGGCCTTGCAAACCCAAACTCATTCTAGTAGCTCTCTACCCCCAAGGGTCTCCCAGTCCCCACTGATTCTCCCATGGGGTAACTGCTGGTGATCTAAAATAAAATAAAACAGCCAGGTATTTTACCAGCAAAATCAGTTTACTCGGGAACAGCAAAAACTACAATTCGGAACATGCAGTCTATGGTGAACCACAGGCAAGTCCAGAGAAGAGGAAATGAGTTCTGTCAGAGGGGAAATGAGGTTTGCGCGTGGCTATTATAAACCAAGAGTCCATTGGAGGAAACCGGGAGTTCGAAGTGTAGTGGCTTTTCATTGGCTGGCTTATGACAGTGTCTCATTGGCTAGGCTGTTGCCAGGCAAGGAGAAATTTTTTCCTCCTGCTGGATAGTAAGGTAGTAACCCTATTCCTGTTGGAGATGCAAAGGTATGTCTCTAACTGTTGAGTCTGCAACTGACAGCTAGAGGGCATGAGAGCTCCCCCTTCTCTCCTCCCAACTCCACCTTAAATGAGGTTTCTGTTTATTAATTTTCACACTGCCCAGCACTGTGCTTGCAGACTGTCATCATTTACTGGTTGGTGCCAGGGCAGGCTCCAGACCCAAGATGAGCTAATCTAACAAGTCCCTTTCTCTGGAATCCAACCTGCTATGATACTATTTCCCGCTCCAAGGAACAGGAAAGCCCAGGATACAGACAAGACAAGAATGGGGCCTCCATGTGAGCTGCCAGGATGAGAAATGATAAACTCCGGACCCAGTCCATTCGAGCCCCCCCCCCCCCCCGCAGCCCTGTCCTCGACTTCCCTGCATCCTAGTTTTAAGCCAACTCCCAGGGCCTTCTATTACTTGTAACCCAGTATCCTTGCCAGCTCACATTGAGTGCGTACTGCAGCTTATGGTCAGGTTGGGGCATCTGCCCTCTCGAATGGATGTTCAGTAGGTCCTTTTCAGAGAGCAGGGCAGAACTGCCTTTCCAGGAGATCCCCAACTGTCTCCCACCCTGCCCTTCCATGCCAGGTCACCTTTTGAGCTCCACTTGGCCTGTTTTCTGCCACCTTCTGGACAGTGGTGGGATGGTAGGGCTGCCAGATGGCATAGGTTCTTAGAACAGTGCTCAGGGCATGTCTGACAGTGGGCAGCACTGAGGTAATGGAGAACTCCTTTAGGGAAGGGACTGTTTCCCTCCTGGTACCAGCATCTGGCACAGGATGGAAACTTGGTATTGAATAAATGAATGAAGGAATGAATGGATACATGGATGGATGAGTGAATTGATGTATGAACTGGAGTCAGTAAGGGGCTGGCTGGGGCTGACTTATACGTAAAGTAGCCAGAGATCTTGCATTAGATACCATCCCAGATCCCAAATCCTGTTGCATGTGGTTGGCTGCCGTCTCTCAACCCAGCATCTGCTTGGGGGCGGGGAATCAGTGCTGCTCAGTAAGTGAAATGGTGAGGGAGGGGTCCGAAGAGGGAGACAAACTGACCCTTCATCCTCTAACTGTAACACATTGTTTTCTGTATGACTTAGCACTTGATCAACGACAGCTTGCTTACAGCTTCCTTGAGCTCGTTCTTGTGTACACAAAATTGGGCTAAAGTGATGACCGTGTCGGGGTTTAAAAAAAAAACAGACCAGAAGTTATAGCTATATCTAAATGAGTGAGTCAGTTCCATGAGTCAATTACTCAAGAAATACTGGTTGGCGCCAGGACCTAGTCCAGCCCAGGGAGCCCAACCCCTTGGCATGCGATGATAAAGATGCAGAAGTGTGGCTGCCTTTTATAAACTATCAAGAGTCTTTTTCCCCCTTGCGGCCTAAGTGGGTAAGGAGGAGGTGGGGATCCCAAGGTAAGAATGCCTCAGAGTAGCCCATCCTGGTGAAAAAAACAATCAGCAGGTGGTAGGAGGCCCTCTTCCAGGAGTCGATGCCTCCAGGGTGAGTCTCATCCATTCTTGCACGACATATGCGACCCTGCTCCAAGCCTTGGCTTCTCTGGGCACTAAATGGATGTCCTGGAAGCCAGATTCCAACAGGGGCTCAGAATCCCCCACTCCAACTCCCATCTCTGAGTTCCAGGCCCTTTCAGGGAACGCCCCTCCTCCAAATAGCTCTCAACCAGCCTCAAAGGCTAAACTGCACGATGCAATGCCCTTAGTTCTCCCATCCCTGGAATCAGGTCTCAGATACTACCATCAACTCAAACTTCTAAGGGCACACTTATCACTGTCCTCCTTGCCACCTCCTGCCACCTCCATACCTACGCACCCAGGAGGCTGGGTTTTTGCAAAGGTTTTGAAGGGACCTCACTTAGTCCTTGGTTTCTCATTTTGTAACAGAGGAGACTCACTGTATGCGGTCTTCTCCTCGGAAACTGTCCAGAGACATCAGCTTGTTTAATCCCGCCAGCAACACTGAGGAGTAGAGATTGTTATTTCGCTTTTATAGATGAGAAAACTGAGGATGAGAGATTAAGCCACCTGCACACTGCAGGCAAGTGGCTCTGCTAGGATTCGAACCCAGGTCTTCATGCCCAAAGCCAGTATTCTGTGCATTTCCTGGCTCCCAGGGTATACATAAAACTGTTTCCCCAATCCTGGCAAGAGACGTAGGGTATTCTTAATGTTTTTATAAGGAAGCATGATCGTATAAGCATGCAATAACTTCTGGGCCTCCTTACCCTGAGAGAGACCTGAAATTTGAAGCAGAGTCAGTGAATGTTGAGCTGAATTTGTGCTGGTGTCACTGACAACAGCCATGCAGGGATTTCCAGGATGTCAGGAGAGGTTTCCAACCCCAAAACGACATAGAAGCAGAGGTCATTTGAGCTCCAAGGGCCCTTAGAGGACTTCCAGACCCAGCTTCCTCTACAGACAGAGAAACTGAGGCTCTGAGAAGGACCAAGACCTTCTAAAGTTCACCTGGAGTCAGACACACGGTTCGGGCCAGACCCAGGCTCCCAGCCTGGACCATCCAAGTCAATGTCCCTGACTGACACAGCCAGGCTTGGAGTCAGATGGACTCCAGAATAAATCTGACTCTCAGGTTTTTCTTTAAGAAAAGGCTTTGGCCCGAGTTGTCAGAGCCTCATTCCTTGCTCCTCAGGGACCAGGGACCCCCCCTCAGGCTCTCTCACTGCTGAGTCATCAGCCAGGAAACAGCCCTCTGCCCTCCCCCAAAGCACACCCCACTGCCTTGGGATGTTCTTGCTTCTGTAGAACAGGTTCTGGCATCCCTGGGTGCTGAGAGAAGGGACAGGAGCAGGTCACACTCCTGAGTATTTGTCATTTTAGGACAAATACAGCCTAGGGTTGTTCCACAGCCAGGACTGATGCCCTGGCCAGCTCCCCCCAGCACACTCATTCATTCAGAAAATATTACTGGGTACCCACTCTGTGTCAGTTTGTGCTGGACGCTGAGATCTCAAAGAGAGCAAGTTACATGCTTTGTCCCCCAAAGTGGGAAATGAAGAATGTGGTGAGATACATACTGGGATGGGGGAGAGACAGCAGGCCACGGGAGCACAGAGCTGGGGCTCTTCACCCACCCGGGTGCGCTCACCCAGGGAAGGCTTCCTGGAGGAAGTGAGTTAGAGAAGTGATCTGAAGAAGGAATAGGAATTAGGGGGGAAGTGGGTGGAAATGGTGTTCTGGGCAGCGGGTACAGCTTGCACAAAGGCTCAGAGGCAAGACAGTGCAAGGTGTGTTGGAAAAAATTTATCAGAGCGAAAACAAGTACATTTTCCTGGCAGTCTGCACTGGAGAATGAGCAAGGTCAATCTGCTGCCATAAAGATCAGTTCCATAGTCAGGGCTGGACAGCTGCTCTGTGTTCAACCACATGGAGGTGCAGAGAAAAGTAAGGGGTGCTCTTTGCACTCAGAACATGTCCTCCTCACTGGGGAGACAAAACAATCGAATTTTGGGGAGCAGAGCATGAGGTTATCTAGGGGACGTCTACTTGTGGTCACAGCTTCTCACTGAATACCCCCAGTAACCAAGAGCAGCCCATCCTGAAGTCAGCCACGCTTTTGTAGAGAGAGCTGTTTCCTTAAATCAAAAGAAATCTGCCTCCTTAATATGCTCCCCCAACCCCCGTGGTTTTTTTGTTTAGAGGTAATGGCATAAAAGGGGGCTCAACCCTTCTCCCTCCAACAGCCCCTCCAATATTTGGAAGATGGTGCCGATACCTCATCTTGCCCCCAACCCAGGTCTCTCCTTTCCAGTGGTAAACGTGAGCACAGCTGAGGAATAACACTGGGTGATGCCAAAGGCACTGCAGACCAGAGCTCCAGGAGGACTTGTTAGAGCGAATCTGTGGTGGGCTGCAGTCGTCCTGAGCGTCTTACAGGAGGAGAAACCATCCCAGCTGGCTTGGAAGAAGAGGGACTTTGGCGGAGGGAGAAGAAATAGTATTCCCAGAGATGGTACAGCCCAGACAAAGGCACGTCTTCAGCATCAGCTTGTTTTATTCAGTGATCTTACTTTTCCCTAACTGAAAATAATCCATTTGCTATAAGAACTTCAGGAAATGCAGATGAGCAAAGGAAGGAAAGTAAACATACCTATAATTCTACTACCACCCAGAGATAACGCCATGAGTATTTTCACATATATCCCTCAGGACTTGTTTTTCTCTACGTGTGTATGTGTTTTAATGACGCTTGTACTGTACGTAGTCTGCGTCAGGCTTCTTTGCATTTGACAGAATATGATGAATCTTTATCAGGCCACAAAACAGTTTTCTCTAGCATTATTTTGAAGGTTGCATTCATCTTGCACTGAGTGGACATTATGCATTTAACCAAACCCCTATTGTCAGACAAGGATGCTGTTCTCTCTCTTTCTCTCTCTCTGTTTTTTTAACTGTTAGAAATGATGTCTGGATGTTCCCAAGTTCTTTAACAATCCAGGTGTCTTCCTTCTCATTAATAGTCCCGTAATCATAGTCCCTCATAACCAGAGGGAGTCTAGTTCTTTTATCAGGTACCTTCCTCCAGGTGCTTCTGAGAGTGCCCCAGGAAGACCCCATGTTCCACGGATCTGTGGAGTTGCAGCTTGTCCTCCCACCCAGCCAGCCCAGATTGCTCCAGCGACTGCTCCTCTCCCTGTGGTCCCTTCTTGGTATTTTGTAACTGTTTCTCTGGCCATGATCTCCCCACACCCCGTTGTCCCTAAAGTCATTAAAGGCCCTGTATCCATCATGGTCCATTCGGGAGCAAAGAAACCCCTGAAGTTTTTCAAATCCAGGGACTTTTATACAAGGGAGTTGGTTACTTAGGTGATGGAAGAGCTGAGAAGCCAATCAGGGCCTGGGAAGCAGCCTCAAGATTCACCAGGAAGTGGCTCCATCCTTTGAGCTAAAGGGAAAAATGGGAGGAGATGTTATCAGAACTCAGGCCACCTGACAGAAAGATGGTGGCGGCTGCCTGGCGGGAGGGAGCTGGAGCTCCAGAGGAGACACAGCCATTGTACAGGGACCACTCAAGGCAGAGAAAGAGGGGGAGAAATACCCTGATGTCTCTCCTCCTGCTCAGCAGTCTTCCTCCAGTGCCTCCCACTGGCTGAACCTATCAGGAAGCAGTTGACGAAGGAGCCTGGGAAATGTAGTTTCCTGCAAGTAACAGGAAAGGACTGGCACCAGCCATACCTTAATTTCCCCAAAGCACAGCTCAAATTTGACTTTACCAGAGACTCAGAGCTGACAGAAAACAATTACAACACAGAAAAGAAAAGCTGAAATATAGGTCCCTGGATATCACAGCCTATTACATCCTAAAGCCAGGTCCCTTAGGAGCCTGCTGTTCTGCTCGAGGCCTCAGCCTGCTGTGCTGTGACTGGGGCCAGCCAGACCCTCCCCAGGGACAGAGATCTCTGATCATGTCCACCCTCACCAGAGTCGAGGCCCCTTCAACTCAACTTTCTCTGAGGCCGGGCGAGAAGGGGAAAATCATTTCCTAAATGCTCATCCCCGTGGATTTCCTATTATTCCTGTAGATACAGTTCTACAAGGCAGGACCGCTTGGGTGAGCAGGTCAGATCCTCACTGTCCCAAACCAAAGGCCCATTCATGATTTTCCCCCCATCTCTAGCACAGTAGAAAGAGTCACTGGAATTTCAGATCCTTTTTTTTTCTAATGTTTCGCAGGTCCTAGACCCCAAAGGCTCGAGGTGGGAGTGTCTGGGCTTCTCACCCAGTGGCCTCTGTAAGAGGAAAGTGATCCCCAAGCCCACCACCCAGCATGGCCGACCTGCTTCAGTGTCGGGTACAAGGAGGGGCAGCAGACACCCTCTGTCTGCTCCGGCCAGAACAAAACCAAGCAGTCTAGCTTCTCCTCTGCCACAAGGAACATTCTGGAATATATTTTCTGCTTCTTCACCTGCTCCAGTTTTTTCCCTTGGGGTGAATCTCTAAAAAGAATACTTAGAGCAGAAGGTATTGTGGGTTGCAGGCTTCTGATACCTAGAGCCAGATTGCTCTCTGATAAGGCTGTACATCATGGATTATTTTTGCCTTTTCTGCCTCTCGGCTCCCTAATAAAGCATTGAAGAGCCTTGGGGTGAGTCAGCCACCAGACCAGATAAACAAGCCGGCCTGTCACCGCTGCTGCTTTCTGCAACTAAGAAGGGAACTCCCTTGGATCCTGCCCAGGACCTGGAATTCCGAAGCACACCGGCCAGGCACCTTTGTACCCAGCTCCCCACTGCTCGGGTCCCACCTTCCCCTCCTTTCCCCGCCCCGTGCCTGGGTGGAGCCAGCTGCCAAGGCGCCAAAGCTTCCCAGTCCTCCCTCTGTGCTCAGCCCAGACTGGAGGCCAAAAGAGGGCTCTGTGCCCAGCCCCGATGAGGACCCTACTGACCATCCTGGCTGCGGGATCCCTGGTCGGTAAGTCCCTGTTGCCTGGTGGTCAGAACGCCCCCTGACCCCAGGAGCCTATGATCAGAATCACCTCCCCAGGAACCCCATCCAGCCCCAGCACTACCAGTTTCAGTTTCTTCTCTGCTGGTCCAAACTGAGTGCCGGATTTCCCTGGTGAAGTAGATGCCAGCTCAGGTTGCTGGGGAGGACAAGGGGGTCCCTCAGACCCTGGGTTCTTCCAGAGACTAAACTGAACCTGAAGACTGGGGGATGCAGCCACCTGTCTGAAAGTGCTGGGAACCCCCACCCCAGTGGATAGAGAATTAGCTTAAGGGAGATGGACATCCTTTGACCATTCAGATCATTCTGGTGGAAGTCGTACCTCTGTCCCTCTGCTTCTGGCTGGCACTGTCCTGACGTAGGGAGGCGAGGGAGCGTTAAGATGGCAAAGCTTGGTTCTGGCCATTGCCTGGAAGAGACCTTCCAGTCCCTTGTGCTAGATTTGAAAAAGCACTTTCCCAGAATGGCCAGGTCCGTTGCATCAGTAGGTCTTAAAACACCAGGGCTCTTTTTTGTAAAATGGGACTAAAGGACATATTGAATTGAATATGTCCTTTTCAGATTGAATAAAGTGGGCTTTTTTGATGTGTCATTATGGAGAACTTTAACTGATGTTTGAAGTCCTAGATTGTCTCTCTGCTCCCTGAGATGTTTAATAAAATTCAGGGGACTTTCTTAGGAAGTGAAAGCAGAGTCCTGACGACAGAAGGAGGAGGGCTGCAAGGCCCCTTCTAGCTCAAGTGCAGGATGAAGGCCACAAAGGGCCAGAGCTTCCCAGCCCCATCTGTGGCTGTGCCCCGCAATGCTGCCTGCATCCTCAGCCCTTCCAGCTGTGGCCCGGGCCCTCGGTCTGTCCTCCCCCGGTCTCAAACGGGGCAGCCCCAGCACCCTGGACTCACGATGAGCCAGGGAGACTTGATGCATTCCTCCAAGAGATCCCAAGACATGGCCCTTTGGACCCTCCACCCACTCTGGTTGGAAGTCTTAGAGGCTGTCAGCCCCTTACAAAGGGGCCCTGGGGTAACCAGCCCTTAGGAGATTGTTAAGAGTGGGTAGGGTCACTCTGGAGACGCAGGTCCCTTCACTCCTAGCATTCTTAGGCTGATTCCAGAGCATGTTGAATTGTTTTTGTTTGTTTGTCCTTAGCTTCCAACTGGGTGACATAAAATTGTTTTTCCAAGCAAATGCGAAAACTTCCTTTGATCAGGCCTACCAGTCTGTCAGTCTGTAGATAATACACGTCTCTCCAGGATTTCACAATGTAGACTTTCACCCAGGAAGTGCAGAAACCATGCAGTCTGAAGAATTGGTGATGAATTTGAGGAGGAAGAGGCAGGAGCAGGCAGGAGGAGAAGGAAGATCTCGTTAGCCCTCGACACCCTCTAAAAGAGGGGGGCCAGCCAAGGTCCACCTATTCCACATCAAGAAGCCAACTTCAGTTCCCTCCTGAAAAGTGATGCCAAACTCTGCCCAACCTGGGCCTTTTATCTCCCAAGCATGTGCCAGCCTCAGCCACCAGGCTCCTCCAAACCCACGTAGGCCACCCAGGACACTGACCCCCCCCCACCTCCAGCAACCTTCCCACTGCAGACTCTAACCAAGTCCACCCCCAGATCACCCTGGCCCATCTCAAATCCCACCCTCTCTCTGGCCTTACCTGAACCTCACCACCTCACCCAAAGCCACCATTCAGTTCTGACCTCAAGGAGATTTCTTCCCTCAACTTAAGACCAGCCCTGAATCCAGGCCCCCTCCCTCCAGAACAGACCCGAGTTCTGCCCAGACTCAGATCCAAACAAGATATCAGCCACACTTTGGGGCTGGGCAGTGAGAACCCCGTAGTCCCCTTGGCCCCACTCTGGAGGCTCCAGGAAGCCTGGAACACAAAGATTTCTGCAGCTACAGGGCCTGAACAACCCAGATTCAAAGAGGAACATGGCCTTAGATTTAGCCAGTGGATGCACAGCGGGGCCAGGCTGTCCTAATACTGATGGGGATACTTCCCCAGCCCCACAGATGCCTCCGAAGCCCATGGACCCTTCTTGCAGAAATACTATATGTGGACTCGGAGTGGAAGACTCAATAGATGTCCAGTCCCTCACATTCTGGACCTGCTGGTGGTCATGGTCACACTGGGGTGGGGTGGAGGCAACACACACATCACATCAAAGACACCTGTACACACAAGACCTCAAGGTCTTGACTGGGTCTGCACCTGTTGATTTCCCACCCCAGCCAGCCAGGCCCTCTGAGCACGCTCAGGGCCAGCTGCCAGCTCTGGCCGCCTGCACTCTCTTCCTTCCCACAGACCAAGCTTGGAGGCCTGAGAAAAGAGATTTACAGTGAAAATTGCTTCAGGGGCAATGGCCCCTCCCGGGTCCTGTTCCTGGGGCTGTGGCCTTTGCTACCCCTTCCTTGCTCCATTGTATCCACCCCCTGAGCAGTCTAGCACTGTGATGACTATTGCAGGCTGCCTCTCTGCGCCTCAGTTTTTCTCATCCATAAAATGGGGTAACGATAGTGGCTGCATCATCAGGTTGTCAGGAGAATTGAATGACGAGACTGAGCCCAATGCCTGGCACTTGCTGTGCATGTCGCAGCATCAGCTGCTGCTGTTGTCATTACTGCTTATCTTTAGGTCAGTCCAATTATTCTCATTTTAGAGATGAAGAAATTGAAGTTCTAGTTGTTTAAACAGCCTCCCCACATACGGTCGGGCTGCCCATACGTGGTCTAGGTCAGCATCCTCTCTGTATAAAAGCCATGTGGCTGCAGAAGGTGCCTTTGCCCTCCTCTGAAGGCGTGTGGTGGGCGAGCAGGGGTCGGTTTGACCAGCAGAGAGGCAGGAATTCACAATCATCTTCTCCACCCTTGTCTGAAATTACTGACTCTGAGCAAGTTACTTCTTAGACATTCAATGTTTAGTTGACTATCTCCAAAGTATTCCGATGGTGAGGACACTCACTTTAGATGGGGTTGAGAAATGAATGAGAAAACAACAGCACGTGTTGGCAAGGATGTGGAATAATCGCACCACTCGAGCGTTGTTGGAGGGAATGCGAGATGGTGCAGCCTCTTTGGAAAACAATGTGGCACACAGTTAGGCAGCTCTCAAAAAGTTGAACATCGAATCACCATAGGACCCAGCAATCCCACTGCTGTATACCCCAGAGAACTGAAAACATACGTCCACTTAAAAACTTGTACACAAATGTTCACAGCAGCATTATGCAAGGGGACAGGGATAAACTGGGAGTTCAGGATTTGCAGATACACACTACTTTTATATAAAACAGATCAACAAAAAGGTCCTACTGTATAGCACAGGGAAATATGTTCATTATCTTGTAATAGCCTATAATGAAAAAGAATATGAAAAGGAATATATATATATATAAAACTGAATCACTATACTGTACACCAGAAATTAATACAACATTGACTATACCTCAATAAAAAAAATAGCCAAAAAGTGGAAACAACCTAAATGTCCATCAGCTGAGGATAGGATGAACAAAATGTGGCCTATCCACACAATGGAATATTATTCAGCCATAAGAAGAAAATAAGCACTAATTCATGCTACAATATGGATGAGCTTTGAGAACATTACCCTAAGTGAAAGAAGCCGGACACAAAAGGCCATATATTGCATGACTATAGGAAATGTCCAAATAGGCAAATCCATAGACTCAGAAAGCAGAGTATTGGTGGCCTGGGGCTGGGAGGAGGGGATGGATAGGGATGAGGAGCGACTGCTAATGGATACAAGGATTTTTGGGGGGGTGATGAAAACATTCTGGAACTAGATAGTGGTAATGGTTGCACAACTTGGTGAATATACTAGGAAACCACTGAATTGTTTGCTTTAAAGTGGTGAATGTTATGCACTGTGAATCATAGCTCAATAAAAAGGGGAAACAGAAATGAAGGGGAGTGGTGCCAGTCAGCGCAATCTCGGTGCGTGGATGCTGGCTGTCACGCCCTCAGTAGACAGCTCGTTAGAGGCCTGGGGCGGAGGGCAGGGGGTCTCTGTGTCCATCTGCTCACCCTGCCCCCACATCCTACAGCTCACAACACTGAGGACACCTCGAATCTCCTTCAGCACGTGAAATTCCAGTCCAGCAACTTTGAGAACATCCTGACGTGGGACAGCAGGCTGGAGAGCTCCCCAGACACCGTCTACAGTGTCCAGTATAAGACGTAGGCTTCCCGGCAACATGACTTCTTTTGACTCTGCTCTGAAACCAAAAACGATCCCTCTTCTTCCCTATGTCCCCACGCCTCCCCTCTATCCAGGCGGGTGTTACACAGCAGCCCTCCCCCAGATAAAGCTGAGCTCCTTTATGTTTCTTTTGCAGAGGGAGGTTAAAATATTGGTTACAAGTGTGGACTGTGGGGTCAGACTGCGCAGGCTTGCGTTCAGGCTCTCATCTTATAACCCTGGGCAGTTGGGTAACCTCACCAAGCCTCAGTGTCCCCATCCATGACGTAAAGGCAGCCACAGTACCTTCTTCATAGGGTTGTTAGGTGGGTTCAAGACAATAGTCATTGGCACTTGTGCCTGGCAAAGAGTCGGCTCCCAATGGTTGTTTTATTATTCTGGTGAAACTAGGCCAACAAAAAGCCGAGCCCACCCCCCACTCCATTCCTGCTCTCCCTTCCCAAACAGGGGAGGAGGGTGGCAGGTGCTCAGGTGTCTGCAAACCTGGGTTCTGTTCCTGGTCCTGCCCCTTCATCCTGTGGCAAGCTACTTGCCCTCTCCGAGCCCCAGTTCCCTCATGTGTAAATGCGGCTAACAGTGCCCAGAACGCGGACTCAGACTGGGTTCAAATCCTGGCTCCCCACTTGTGTGCTTCAAACACCTGGGCAAATTTTACTTCTTTAAGCCTCAGCTCCCTTACTTGAAAAGGAGAGAGAGTAACGCATGAACCTCACGGCATTGTTGTAAGGACTTACAGATAACCCACGTAAAGGGCCGGGGAGATGTGCTAAGTAAATATTAGATAACGTTATCACTGTTAATAAACCACAGGCCTGGTGCCAAGCCTGTTCATTAAAGGTGTGCTCTGGCCCCTCGTTTGTGTGCAGCTACGGAGAGGGAGAGTGGCTGGCGAAGGAGGGCTGCCAACGGATCACCAGGAAATCCTGCAACCTGACCATGGAGACAGGCAACCTCACGGAGTTCTACTACGCCCAGGTCACGGCCATCGACAGGGAAGGCCAGTCAGCCACCAAGATGACCGACCGGTTCAACTCACTGCAGCACAGTGAGTGGGAGCCCCCTGGTGCCCTGGACAAGGGGCGGGAGAAGGATGGCCTCTTCCCCTCCAGAGTGAGTGGGGGGCCCAGAAGGGCTCAGCCTCCCAGGGGCAGTTAGGGAGGTGGCTTTTAGGGAAGGCACCCTGACTAAACAGCATCTCCAGCACAGTTGTTCATCTTTCTCCGTCTCCACCCCAACCTCCCTATTCAGACCACCTTCATCTCTCCTCTTGACTACAACCATGGCCTCCTAACTCGGTCCCCCTACTCCTTCCTCGACTCTTCCCCAATCCTCAGTCTTGGTCTCCACTTCAACATCATTTCCTGAGCAAGCATCCCCACTCCCAGCCCCAACAACCCCTTTTCACGAGGTCGCTGCCTCTTGTTCTCCATCACAATAAACCATTCACTGTCTTCAGAGCTCAGATGCCAATCTGCAATTACTGTGTTTGCTTGCATATGTATCATCTGCCGGCCCCACTGAAACATAAGCTCCGTGAAGATGTGTGAGGGCTTGGAATCCACTGTATTCCCAGCCCCTTAGCATAGCGCCAGGCACATGGGAGATGCTCAATATGTATGATGAAGGAAAAAAATGAATGGATGCATGCATGCATGCATGAGTTACCAAACTCCCCACACAAGTTAAGCAGGTGATGATGTGCACTGACTGACTTAACCGCCACATGGTTTTTTAAGAAAATAAAAAATAAAATTAAGCAAATTATTTTATATTTTTCCTTGGCTTGTTCAGTTAATGCATGTTTATTGTACAAAATTTGGAAAACATAGAAATACACAAAGAAAAATAAAATAGGCCCCAATAACTTGAACACTTAAACATAGCCACAGTTACTAGAGCTTTTACAAAAAAGTATCTACTCTTCTGTAATCTGGTTGGTTGCTTGCTTTTCATGTAATAGGATCATGAACATTTGCTAATGTCATTAAATATTTTTCCACAACATGATGTTTCACGGCTGCAAAAATAATCCATTCTATGGAGAGACTCTAACCTCCCTAATTCCGTTCTTGAGGACATTTAACTCAGTTTTCCAATTTTATAAACAGCACTGAAGCAAACATTCTTCTAGCTCAGATGCTTTTAATCTTGGAGGTCAATGGACCCTTGAGGGCTTTTTATAAATTAGCTTCAAGGAGAATGAGGCTCCTGAATCCCTGAAATTGAGTGCGAGATTTTTGTATATGTACATTTTGGGGGGAAAGAGCCAGAGCATTCATCAGATTCCCAAAGGGGTCTAGAAACCAGTAAAGTTCATGTGGTTATTTAGAAAATTCCATCTTGAGAGAGACCGAAGTCTGAAGCCTGGCCTTTGAGGCTGAATCAATAATATTGGGCACCACAAACATTATTCAGGATATGTAGTTGAGCCATCAGTTCCCAAAGCTGTCACTGCTGGTAGACTAGGGGTTAGGGTGCTCCCGGAAGACTCTAGGTGGGGATACGTGGAGGCTGGGGCAAGGGTGTGATCAACCTGGAGGGCCAGGGCCCCTCTCCCTGAGCCCTTCCCACTCACCCTTGGTAACTCCTTTGCCAGCCTTACACCCTACACCAGTTGCGTGCAGAATTTTTCTCTTCTCACCTGTTCGTCTGGCTGGTGCCTTTAGAAGCATAAGCTGGGGTTGGGGTAGGAAGGGAGGGAAAGCAGTCATTTCCCTTGGGCCAAGGCAGCCTCTCAGCCGCTTCTGGCTGACTCCAACTTTTTCATTTCTTTTTTCTCTCTTTCTTCTCCCAGCTATCATCAAACCACCGGATGTGACCTGTATCCCCAAGGTGAGATCCATCCAGATGATTGTCCATCCCACCTACACGCCCATCCATGCAAAGAATGGCCACCGGCTAACCCTGGAGGACATCTTCCAGGACCTCTTCTACCGCTTAGAGCTGCACATCAACCACACCTACCAAATGGTAAATATATCTGCCACCATGGTCCTTCCCTGACTCAGAAACCCACTTCCCTCTCTGCATTGCATTAAGTAGGAAGGAGATGTGCTATATAAATCAGCCTCCCTCTTGTAGAGTCACATATGCAATAACATGCTAAAGCTCTGTCAAGTCCTGCAAAGCCAGGACTCAGTTTCAATATGTTTAATACAACTTCTCTTACATTTACTTGATCAGACAATTCCTTTTATTTTGCATTTTATATATATATATACATATATATATATATGTATATATATATATATATATATATATATTTTTTTCCTCCCTTGGCTGTTGCCTTCTAACATCCTGGGGAAAATTTTCTGTTAACATCCTCAGGTGTCCACTTTGGAAAATGCTGGAACCAATTTCTACTGTTGTAATTCTTTTTGCTGGTTCTTCACTTTTTGTAGGAACTGAATACCGGTAGTGTCTTAAGATCAGTAATGAAAGGTGGAAGGCAAGGACGTAAACTGTCAAATGATCTACAAGTTGTTTCTTTTTTGTATTCAGAAAATAGAGTGTTCCCCGCCCCGCCCCCAGCGTGTGCCACTGATCCATTGTTCTATTGAATTCCTGCACTCAAGGGGCTTATAATCTAATGGATGGGGAGAGAGTTAAAGCAAGAATTCAAACAGCTATAGGCAGAGGAAAATAAGGGTATTGTGTGGGACAGAGCCTAGCCAGGAGGGGAGAGAGATGTCAGTTCAGAGGTTTCTGGAAATTCCAGACCTCTAAGAACAGAACTTCCTGGTGCCAATACCAATTCCTGGGTGTGCCAGGGGATATATACTCATGTGTCATTTAATCTTCACCACAACCCTATGAGGTAGGTGTTATTATCTCCATTTTCTGAACGAGAAAACAGAGGCTCAGAGAGTTTAAGTCACTTGCTCAAGATTGTTCAGCAAGTAATGGCATAATCAAGATTCAAATCCAGCTCTGCTCCAAGCCCAGATTCCCCATCCCCACCCCATGTCCCCACACTGGCCTACACTGCCCCACACTGCCGCACTGTGATCAGAGAGAGAATATTGTTGGAAAGCACAAAACTGCCTATTTGGGCTGGAGCAAAGGGACATACAGAACAGTTTCTCAAAATATGGCCCCAAACCAACAGCAGCAAAATCTCCTGCAGCATTTGTTTAAAATGCAGGTTCTGCCCCCCCCCCCAACTATAATCTGCTTCATCAAATTCTAGAGTTGCATCTTTAGGATCTGAATTTTAGTGAGCAACCCAGTGCTTCTTACCCACCCTGAAGTTTGAGAAATACTGGTGGAGAGGAGCAATGGGAGATGAACCCTAGAAGACAGGCTGGGGCCATGCCTTAGAGGTTTGGATGGTGGCTGGAGGAATCTTTATTTATTTCAGTGGTCACGGTGGGGTGGGGGGAGCAATTAGAGATTACTGAGCCAGGAGAGACCTAATCACAGCTAATTTTTGGTAAATATTTGGGGCTTTACTGAATATTTTATTGTTATTGATTTACAATTTAATTCAGTTGATGGTCAGAGAACATACTCTGTATGATTTCAGTCCTTTTAAATTTATGGAGACCTGTTTATGGCCCAGCATATGGCCTCTCCTGGTGAATGTTCCACGTGCACTTGAAAAGAATATGTATTTTGCAGGTGTTTGGTGGAGTGCTCTATAAATACCAATTAGATAAAGGTGGCTAATAGTGCTACTCAGATCTCCTATGTCTTTCCTGATTCGGGGGAGGTCGATTGTTCTTTTAATTGATCAAAGTGTTGCAATCTCCAGCTTTGACTATGGCTTTGTTTTCCCGTTTAATTCTGTGCATATTTGAAACTCTATTATCAGACAAATACACATACACCTTTATGGCTGTTACAGCCTCCTGGTGAATTGACCCTTTTATGGTTACGAAATGTCCCTTTTTATCTCTAGTAATACTCTTTTTATTGAACTCTACCTTATCTGATGTTAATATAGTGACCCCAGCCTTCTTATACTTAGAATTTTCATGGTGTATCTTTTTACACCCATTTATTTTTCAACCCATCTGTGCCTTTATATTTGAAGTATATCTTGCAGACAGCATTCTAACAGTCTTTCCCTTTTTAAAAAATGGAGATATAATTCACATACCACAAAATTCACCCCTTTAAAGTGTAGGATTCAGTGGTTTTCAGTATAGTCAAAAATTGTCCAACCATCACCACTAATTCTGTCTTTCTATTGATCTCATTTCAAGTTCTCTGACCCTTCCAACATCTCCAACCTGTTGGTAAGACATTCAGTGGTATTTTTTATTTTAGATATTGTATTTTTCTGTTCTAAAGTCTCTAATTTTTATACTTTCTATATGCTACTAAGAATTCCTAGTCATTCATTCTAAGCACATTTTCCTTCACTTCCTTGAGCAGAGTTATCCTAACCACTTTAAAATCATTATCTTTTAATTCAAAAATTTTAGTCATCTTGGGGTACGTTACCATTGACTGTCTTTTCTCCTGAATATGGGTTACATTTTCTCTTTATATGTCTAAAAATTTTGGAATGCATCCTGGACATTGTGAACGATATGTTGAAAGAACTCTGGACTTTGTTCTGTTCCTCCAAAGGGTATTGATTCTGTGTATGTGTGTGTGTGTGTGTTTGTCTTAGTAGGCGGTTAACTTGACTGAGCTTCTGAGTTCAAAATCTCAGTTCAGTAAAGTTCAGTTGAAACTTTTCCTGGGCTGCTGGGAGTCTACCCCATTCACGTAGCCTTTAGGCACCAGCCAGGAATTTAAGCAGAATTCAAGCCTCCCTCTCTATAAACCTCTCTTACCTGTGGTTTCTACCCTACTTTCCAACTTTTATAATTGCCCTGTCTCTGTCTTCGGATTACTCAAACCAGTAAGATTACAGGGTTTTTATCTAGTTCTTAGCCACCCCACGTGGTATAAATAGGGGCCTGCCTTCAGGCTAAAAGACTTTTAAAAGGAGGGAGAAATTCATTCAGTGCCATTCCTTTCCTCCCTTCTCCAGTATCTGCCTGCTTTTTACTTACTTTCCGATGCCTGTAGGTGGTTTTTATTTTGGCCAGAGTTGATAGTTGTTATTTTAAGGAAGGTTGGTCCAATAGAAGCTATAAATTTCTGGGAGCAGAGAGCAGGGAGATCACGTGTGGAAATGAAAGAGCATTCAAGGTGAGAAGTCAGAGGGCAGTTGCAATGGTATAAGCTGGAAATGATAAGGGCCTGAACCAGGATGGAGGCAGTAAAAAATTGAGGAAAGGAGGGTCTTGGGGCCTTGACAACCCTACTGGAGTTTTATCACCTGATATTTATTGGGTGTAATTTCAACCACATGAGTGCCACAAAACAAGAAGTTGTTTAAGTCCATTTATGCACATCTTCACTCCCTTCAAAAGAAAAACTACCAAATAATCCTAAACCTTAGCCTCTGTGTGCCTAGAAAAGAGAAGGCATTGCTGAAACACAAAGAACCAAAGAAGAAAATTCTTAGCTTTTGAACTCCCAAGAATACAGCTCCTGGATCTTTAAAGAAAAGTTTATGGATTCTTTCAGGACAATTAGATACACGGGGTATGAAACAGGGTTTGTCAAAAATGGCTTTAAGTTTTGGGCCTTGGATATTAAAACAAGAAAGATATTTTTAACAGAATTAGGGGATCAAATGCAGGTGCGAGTTTGGGGTTAGGCATGGGCAGGACCCAGAGATTGGAGATCAGAATGGTTGGACATGTTGAGTTAGAGATGCCCACAGACTGCTGTCTAGCAGGGATCTGGCAGTGTGCATCAGAAACCCCACAGCTCTTACTGAGATCAGTTTGGGAGTTATCACAGGGGTCAGGGGTCCAGAAAAGATCACTAAGTGAGAAAATAGTGGAGAGAGAAGGAAAAAAAAGTGGATAAAGAGCGAATCTTGCAGAACAACAACACTAAGGGCCTGAAGCCAATTACAGCAATCAGAGAGGTAGGAGGAGAACCAGAATGATGGAATGAGGCAGCCAAGAGGGGAGTTCAAGCTCAAAGAGTTTAGTGACATACAGGAGGGCAAGACCTGACAAGCAGCTCTAGCAGACAGATCAGCAGAAGCAAAGGAGCAAGGGCTTATTTCAGAAGCAAAGTGTTTGCAGGAGTGACAGGCATTCCACATTGCCAAGTGGGCTGTAGGGAGAGATGAGTGAACAAGGGAGCATGGACCAGGGTTTTATCCTGTAGTATGAGCCGGGCCATCAAAGGATATTGAGTATAGGAGCATTGTAAGTGTATTAATCTTTTAGAAAGATCACTGTGGCACTAGGACAAATATGGAAGTGGACAGGAACAAAACCAGAGACAGGTGAATAGTAAGGAGGCCACTGCAAGAGCCCAGATTGAAGATATTGAGGCCCAGTTAGGGTAGACGCAATGAGGACTCAAGACAGGGATAGATATTCAAAGGGTTTTTGATATTTGATTAAGAAGAAGGAGGCAGAAGATAACTAGAAGAAGGAAGAATAGTGGTGGTGGTGGTCGTGGTGATGGTGGTAGTGATGGTGGTGATGGTGGTGGTGGTGATATCATGATGGCGGTAGTGATGGTGGTGGTGGTGATGGTGGTGGTGGTGATGGTGGTGGTGATGGTGATGGTGGTAGTGATGGTGGTGGTGGTGGTGGTGATGGTGGTAGTGATGGTGGTGGTGGTGATGGTGGTGGTGATGGTGATGGTGGTAGTGATGGTGGTGATGGTGGTGGTGGTGGTGATGGTGGTGGTGGTGCTGATGGTGGTGGTGCTGATGCTGGTGCAGCTAGTATTTATAGAGCGCTTACAACAGACACTGTTCCAAGGGAAAGTACATGAAGCTTGCAACTAACTGGATTTGGGGAGAAAGCAGAAGGTAGAGGAATGGGAATGGAGCACTGCAGACTGATCTACCGGTTTATGGTTTGGGCAGCTGGTGGGATTGTTTTATTAAGTGCAGTAACCTAGCCAGAGGTGTAAGCGGGCTCACTTGGGCTCCATATGGAGGTTGGTGTATAAGAGACGTTACTCTGGGTTCTCTGTCAAATTCAGCACCTCGGAGGGAAGCAGAGAGAATTTGAGTTCTTTGGCCTGACCCCTGACACGGAGTTCCTTGGGACCATTATGATTTTGGTTCCAACCTGGTCCAAGGAGAGCGCCCCCTACAAGTGCCGAGTGAAGACACTGCCAGGTAAGTTCAGCTGAAGCCAGAGGGTGGTTGGGACTCCTGAATTCAAACCTCACTGTGCTTTCCTCCCTGTAACCAAGGTGAGGTATGGCAGTGCCCTAAACAACTACAGAAGGGTTATTAGTGTATTATTAGAGTCAATCTTTGTTTATCCATAAACGAGTTAGCTGGTGGGTTATTATAACAAATGTTTGACTCCACCCTCCAGCGTATGTCTGAATTTCCTCTCTCTAGCAAGTTGTGCGTGTACCTTGGCAAAGCAAATTCACCTTCATATTAACTCAAGTGAGATATCCTGGGAAATAATCTGCAAATGGGAGAACGGAGAAGATAAAAAGATCCCTCAATACCTTCCAGAGTCAAATAAAAATGACAGTGATTATAATAGCATTTCTCCGGTGCCAACCGGGGACCAAGGCAATAGGAAACACAGTCCTCATGAGCAATCAATGCAGCATCTCGGTTCCACTGTAGAAACTGAGGTTCAGAGTGATTAAGTAACTTTCCCAAGATAACGCAGGTGGGGAGAGAGAGAACTAGGCCAAGTTCCGGAGAACATGTTCTCATCACTGCGCTACTATAGAAACAGTTGTGAGTCATTGGCTCAGTGAGACGGTGTCCCATGCTCCCTTCCTTCAGCACTTTGAAACTCGACTCTCATCGTAAGCATCATGATATTTTTATTAGTGTTTATTTTCACAGAGATAGAAATGTTCTAATGCTCAAAGCTGCAAATTTAGAGGATGAAAATGATAGCATTGGATTGGATGGATTTGGGAAAACAGTCTCCAACTTAGTCATCATGTTTAGGTTGGTGATGTCAGTAGGACATCTCTCTTCTGAGGAATAGAGGCGAGGCGGTTGCTGGAGGCTGGACCCGAGGGTATAACTGCAGCTTGGTAGAATCCTCATTGGGTAGGTTCCAGTCCTTAGCTTTGTTTGGAAACTCAGCTCGCCAGTTTCCTCAAGAGCCCACAAGAGACTGATTTCTCCACCCAAGTCCCAGTGCATGTGTTTCCATGGGAAGCTCTGCCTGGTGGAGCAGCCAGCACTGGCCACTTGTATGGGGCATGCCCTTCCCGGGGAAAGGGCCACATGCAAAGACCAGAATAGAACTTGGCAAGAATAGAGCTAGAAAAAGGAAACCAGCTCTACAGGCACTGGGCTGGGAGTGCATGTGTGATCTGTGACCCTCTCCCCTGACCATGCTAGATAGAGCTCATCCATTCCTGGCCCCCCTCCCCCACCTTATTGCTTATTGACAATGTGCAGACCACTCCACTCATATCATGCTGTTGGCTTGTCCTTACCTGATCTAGCCCAAGATATGATACCATTTTTTCTAAGATTAGCTATTTTTATATGAATCATATTTCTTGGTGGCTATTTCTTGGTGACACATAGAAAACACCATATCCTTTATAATCAAGTATATTAATGACAGTTCCTTTCATTTTTAAGTACCTGTTCTAACACTGTCAAACACTATGTTAAAGGCTTTACATATATTATCCCACTGAATCTTCATAACAATAAGATGCAAGTTGGGTAACATAATTCCCATTTTATAGAGGAGGAACTCTGGCTCAGAGAGGTTAAGCAACTTGCCAGTGACCACACAGCTAGTCAGTGAACTTAGTTAAGTTCATCTGATCCTGAAGCCTGGGCTCTAACCACCACTTTGCAATTGTGTTTACAGGCCATCCCCTCTACTGCACACTTATTCCTCTCACTTCCATCTCAGAATGAAATGTCCTGCCCTTGACCCTGTATCCTGAGGTCTGTCTTATCCCCAGAGCCCAGAATCCCTCCTTTATCTGCCTCGTGGGTTGTCTTGGAGCATCTTCCTAGTATCTTGACACTGGAAAGGGCTCTAGGGGTCACCTCACCCTGTATCCTAATTTTACGGATGAGGCATCATTATGTAGTGGCTGTGAGGATGAGCTTTGGCATTATATATGTCAATTCTGGCTTCTCCACTGAGTAGCTGTGTGACCTTGTTCAATTCAATTAACCTCTCTGAGACTCAGCTTCATTATCTGTAAGAAGGGCCCTGGCCCTCTGTTTGGTGGAATGGGATGACATTGGTAGAGCACCCCACGCAGTGTGGGGCATATAATAAGAGTTCAGTCATTCCTGATGATTGAACAAATGGTAGACCAAAAAGAGTCACGCAGAAGAGAGAAGGCTCAGCATATCAGTGGCTGAGCCAGATCTCTAATACCCCACATTCCAGTTTGTTTCTATTATTTCTTCCTGCTTTGCCATGAATGAAATGGCAGGAAAATCTTCCAAGTTCTTGTCCTGTCCTGGAACAGGGAGCAGTGGTTTTTCCAGTGACATTAGGCATGTCATGTAGAGACATTTGGGTCGTGTCTTCTCCCTGGAACAGCAATGGGAGTATCATGTCACAGGGGACAGGGTATCGCTAAAGTGGGAAGCCCACCCAGGGAGGCCTGAGCCACAAGGGCTGGGGGAGGAGCAAGGAGTGAGCTAGGAGCAAAGGCGCCAGCGATTCCCAGGGTTCATGGCCATTGCCAAGGTCATTGGCAACTGGTGCTCAACTCCCCAAGCTGAAGCCACACAGGGGCCAGGAATAGAAGGAGGGTGACTTGGAGAGTTAAGACCCCTGGGTAACACAAATCGCCAGTTTCAGCAAAAACTCCAGCCACCTCTTCCTTCCCAAGCCCCTGACCAGTCCCACTTGGGTCGGCAACAGGAAGCGTGTCATGCCAAGAACTGGCTGCATCCACTCACCCCAGAGATGGAGGACCATAGGGAGGAGGCTCGGCACTGAAGCCCTGAGCCATCCTCTCCTTCTCTTTCAGAAAGTATAGCCCCTCCCCAGGCTCCCTCCTGAGTGAGGTCTTCCGGATACCCAACTCACACCTGGGTAGAGAGGTAGTGAGGACGGGCCCCTCCCACTGTCCCATCTCCCTCCCATTTCCCTCTTTCCCCCGCCCCCACCAGGAAGGCAGAACTGTCCTTAGACCCAGGCAAGGGTGGTCCTTGTCTGAGCCCCGCATTTTAGAAGGCCCCATCTGGCCCCGCTCTGGCCAAGGCCCTCCCCACAAGATGAAGAGTCCTTAGGTCCAAGTGGGCAGATCCCCCTGGGAACCTGTGACCCTGAATTTCCCTGTACAAATGGCTGGAGCCCATGCCCAGCCTAGGCAGAGCTCTTCCTTGGGTCTTTCCCAAAGGAAGACACTGGATGTGCGTGAGGCCCTGGCAGTGTGGGCTGGAGCCAGGCTGAGTGAGGGGCTGTGGCGGGCTCTCCCTGCACCTCCACATCTCAGCACAGTACCCCAAGGAGTCCAAGAGTCAAAATTCAAACCTGGCCTCTCAGGCTGTTATGGAAGGTATGTTTGTCAAGGTGGAGCATTTGCCTAACAATGTGAAAGCATGGTTTAGAAATTCTGCATATTTAGAGGCATGGTGTGTGGCCCTCCATCTGTGTCCTCATCCCAGCTGGCACAGTGTTGAGGGTGGGAGAGGCCTTCCGGAGCCTGGCCCGAGAGGCAGGGGAGGGAAAGGCAGGAGTTCGCAGCAGCTTCACCCCTTCTGTTCTGGCCTCCTGCTCACCCAGATCGGACGTGGACCTACTCCTTCTCCGGCGCCTTCCTGTTCTCCATGGGCTTCCTGGTCGCTGGGCTCTGCTACCTGAGCTACAGATACGTCACCAAGCCGCCACCACCTCCCAGCTCTCTGGTGAGCAGGCTCCCTGGGGCAGGAGGAGAGGTCAAGGGGAGGACACAGGCCCAGGGGAGGACCCCGGCTCTCCTTCTTTCTCCCCTCCAAACTAAAGACCTGGCCAGCAGGTCAGGGTGTACTGGAGACAGGTGACCAGGAGGAGTGGGCATGGAATAGAAATCCCATGGGGCTTGAAGGCATCCAGGCCAGGCAGGTGACCGGGACCCGAGAGAGCCGGCCACTGCCAGGGACCAAGGAGAGGTGGGTACCACGGAGAGCCTAGGGGCGCACACCCCGTCCAAACGGGCAGCCCGGGTATTGCCACCTGGAAACGCAGGCCCAGTGTTGCCGCATCTTCACAAGCAAAGTCAGGATTTCAGATTGTAATTTGAAATCTCCCACTTTCCAAATCTTGGCAACTAATTTGTAAAACTTAGGCCCTAGCAAACTATACAAGTCCCCGCAGCCTGAGTTCAGCCACCAGCGCTGCATCTTGGCCACAGCTGCAGAGCCCAGAGGCCCGGGGCTCCAGGAGCCGGCTCACGCCCCTTGCCCCTTCAAGAGCATTTTACTCACTATCAAAGCCCAAAGAGCCATTTCCTGTAAAACTCTCTGGGCCTCCCCTTGTCCCCCATTCATCCCCACCTTGCCCCCTACATTAGGCCCTTAGGGACCCAGGAGCTGAAAAACACTTGAACCATCACCTTGAAGGCACCCCCATCCAATGCAACCCCAAATCTGAGTCAACTAGTTCCTGAGTATCCACCGCCTAGAGAGTCCACAGCCCAAATCTCTCTCCCCAGATAACCCAGACTTTAGAAGTGGCCCTCGGCTAACAGGCTGGGAGCTCTGACCCTTCATAGAGTCCCCAGCACTTAGCAAAATCTTTGGGAAGCAGTGGGGATGTAGGGCTTATACATCTTGGAAAAACCCCCAGGTGGTCTACCGCTTCCCCTCTGCTCCCCTCCCCGCCGTGGAGGACTGCGGCATTGCCGGGAGCTTAGAACGTGCTCTAATGGGTGGGCTGTTCCCCCTACACAGGATGTCCAGCGTGTACTCACCTTCCAGCCTCTGCGGTTTATCCAGGAGCACGTCCTGATCCCCGTCTTTGACCTCGGCGGCCCCAGCAGTCTGGCCCAGCCTGTCCGGTACTCCCAAGTCAAGGTCTCCGGGCCCAGGGAGTCCCCAGGAGCCCCACCACAGCCCAGCCTATCTGAGATCGCCTACCTCGGGCAGCTGGACCTCTCCAGCCTCCAGCCCGCCAGAGGGCAAGCTCATCAGACTGTCCCCCCACTGTCCTATGCCCCACAGGCAGCCTCTGAGGGCAAGCCCCCATGCTACGCACCTCAGGTATCCTCTGAAGTTCAGCCCCCGCTCTACACTCCACAGGCCATTTCTGAGGTCCAGCCTCCTTCCTACACCCCTCAGGGTGCTCCAGACAGTTGGCCCACTTCCTACGGGATATGCCTGCAAGGCTCTGGCAGCGACTCCCCACCTGTGACATTCTCCAGTCCCAAACAGCTCAGAACCAAAGGTCAGCCCCAGAAAGAGGCACTAGCTGGAAGCTGCATCTCCGGTGGCCTTTCTCTGCAGCAGGTAACCTCCTTGGCTCTGGAGGACCCTGAAGAAGCAAAACCCTTCCACCAGCATCTGGGGGCTCACACGGACAGAGTACCCGACTCTAACGTCATACACAGAGGGGAGCCAGGGACACCCAGGTACCTAAAGGGCCAGCTACCCCTCCTCTCCTCTGTCCAGATCGAGGGCCACCCCGTGTCCCTCCCATTGCACACTCCTTCCCCACCATGTTCCCCTACTAATGAGAGTCCAAGGCCCTGGGGCCTGCTGGAGTCCCTTGTGTGTCCCAGTGATGAGGGTCCAGTGTCGGAGACTGAGGTCAAGAGCCCAGGCCCTCAGGCCCCAGACCTGGAGCCGCCCACGGAGCTGGACTCTCTTTTCAGAGGCCTGGCCCTGACTGTGCAGTGGGAGTCCTGAACGGAGAACTGGGCAGGCCTGGGGCTTCCTGTTGCCGCCACCTGCCTCCATCCTCAGCCACCCCTCCCACACTCTGCTGCCCATCCCCAGGCATGTGCCCTTGAGGAACCAGCAGAAGGAGGACCCTGGGGCACTGCTGTGGCCAAGCTCCCACGGTAGCAAAAGGGCATGAGAAGAACGCCAGCCAGAGGGGATACTGAAGTGTATCTTGTGCACATGAGTTTGTGCAAATAAGCATGTGCACACCAAGCCCTGCAGGGCAGGACGGGACAGTCAGAGGGCAGGAGTTAATGCAGGGAGACTTCCCAGGGATCCAGGGCCCCAGCTTCTACTACGCTGGACACAGAGCTCTCCAGGGGCCCACCTATCTGCACTCCATTCCTGGCTAGTTTCATCATCTAATTCAGCAGAATGAAGTCTCTGCCTCCTCGGTGATTCCCCAAAGAGGAAGAAAGGAGCCTGGAAAAGGATGCCTCATAGCAGATGGGGCAGAACCAGAACAACCTGCATGTCTGCCAAGTCCAGGGGCAGCAGAATGGCAAGACTGCAGGGTGGGTTGCAGCCTGTGGCTCATCCCAACCCAGGCTACTGCCTAACATGGCACCATGTCAGCTTCATTCCCTGGCTGAGGCTTTACCCCACATAAAGCGCAGGTCCACCAGGGAGGGAGAACACATGACCCTTTTCTGTTGGCAGGAGTTTCAGGCTCTATCCTGGGAGCAGGGTTTGAAAGAAATACGGGGCCATGTGGTGCCTGAAGGAGACACAATTATAAACTGTACTTACTTCACAGCTTTGGAAGCTCAGCCCTGGGTTCAGCCCATATGGGTTGAAATTCCAATCTTACTACTTACCAGCTGTGTGACTTCAAGCAGATGAATCCCTGCTAAAAACCTCAGTTTCCTCATCTGTGTAGTGGGGACAACACCTACCTCACGGATGGTGAGGATGAAATTAAATCATGTCTATAAAGTATTTAATAGTGCTGGCACCTGGGCAGAGCCCAATAAACAGTAGCTATTTCCTGTTGTGATTTTTTTTTTTTTAAATCGGATGGTACAGGAATGACCCACTTCCTCAACTCAGGTTGATTTTGGATCATTTTCCCATGGGCTCAGATTATCCTGATTTCCTCAGGATTGCTCCAGACCAAGCCGGAGGGACGGGACTGTCTAGGAGGGGGCGAGGGAAGGGCCTTCTGGAAACAGGGACCAGAAACAAATGGAATCTTCTCCCTGAGCTTATAGGTGGAAGCTGTTTGGGGCAGGGGGTGGCACTGTTGGAGGACTTGCCTTGCACGAAGCCCCCCAGGCCCACCTCCCCAACAGCCCACCAGAGGCAGCACCGGGCTCCCCTGCCGTCCTGCCCTGTGTCTGCTCTGACATTAAGGCAGGGCCCTTGTCTGTGCGTTCAGCGGGTGCTGTCACATTCTTTGCAACGTTTGCCTCTCATGTGACCTCAGGGATGAGGGAACCGAGGCCCAGAGAAGAGGAGGGACTGCCCCATGGGCCTCCACCAAGGCTCTGACACAGTTGGAGCTCAAACCTAGCACTTCTTCTCCTCACCAAGGGAAGGAAATTTCCATACCAGCTTGGGTTCTCAAAAGATGAGATTCTTGGGGGCATAAGGAGGGGAGGACCCCAGTGGGGTCCCTGGGGGCCAGGCACCCCCATCACCCTCCTGCCCCAAAGCCCTGTCTGAACATTTCTGAGAAACAGTCCAGTGGCCTCAGTGTGCCCCTTTCCACAGTGTGCAATGTTCCCCTTCCCTGTGCCCAATATGTCTGCCCCTCTCTTCCTAACCCCTCCCCTCCCTGCGACACAGCACCAGGTAGTGCTGTCCTTATCTGCTTGTAATTAATATTTAACATCGCTTCAGGGTCACTGGCTTGGACCCAGCATGTCCGTAGCGGAGGGGTGGGCCGCCCTCCTGAGCACCTGGGGGCCCATTTTCCTCCCAGCAGCTGCTAAGTTGGCCCGAATGGTTGCTCCCTTCCCGCACACTGCAAACAAGTCTGCTTCCTGTCACTTGGGGTGAACTTGGCCAAAGGTTCATCTTGTTTAGTAAAGGAAAGCAACTTAACAGCTGGACTGTTGTCACCAGGTAAGCAAGACGGGGTGTCACAAAGCTTTTTATTTATTTATTTTTTAACTAAAAGCCATAAACATCTCTTCCAACTCACAAGTCCACAGAGCTGTCTAAGGTCCTCAGGTGATAGACGTTCCTACCAGTCCATGACTCTGAGTCCTGTGACCCTCGCTGGACTGGCCCTGTCCCCACTAAGGAGCAGACCCCAGGCTGCGTCCCTCCTCAGCTCTCCCAGACAGGCAGGCGGCCCAGGCTGTGGATACGGCTGGAACCAGCTAGGAGGCAGGGTGTCCAAGGCCCCAGGGCTGGGCTAGGGCCTTGGCATTCCTGAGTGTCCTCGGCCTTGACCCCACTCCAGGACTCTCCACAGCCCAGCCCCACCGAGCCAGAGCCAGGTGAGTCTTGCATGACGTCACCTGCCTCCAGGGCATACAGAGCCCAGCCCAGGGGTGGAAGACCAGCAGAGCAGCAGTGGCAGTACTGGGAGCAGTAAGAGGAGGAACACAGACATGCTGCTGGAAAGTTCCTGCACTTCATCACTCTTTCTTCTGTTAACCTTCCATGACAGGCTGCAATACTGGTATTTTGCAAAGGAGGAAAATATGGCCCAAAGTGTTTCTTGCCCAAGTCAGTTTCCTAAACTTGCCTCACCGCAAGAATCCCCTGGAGAGCTCCCTTAAAATACAGCTTCCTCAACCCCAGCCCAGACCTGCTGCATCCGCAGCTCCTGGGGAATCTGGGTTTGTAATTAACTCCTTTGGTGAATCCTCTCAGGCAAGTGGCAAGACCCGTACTCTTATAGCAGCAGTTTTCCTATCTATTGGCCTCATATCACTTCCCTAGAGCCACGCCCATCTGCCCCCTGATGGGGGTGGGCGAGCTGCACGTAGGGGTGGTATTTCAACCTGTGATGCCAGCAGACCCCTGGCCTCCCAAGCCCCTACCCCAGGAGCCCACAGGGGTTGCCTGAGTTTCCACCCAGAGAATAGGGCCAATAGGACTAGGGGTCCCCCAGCGTCCCCAAGAGCCGAATCGCTCTGCTCCTCCCTAGTCTGAGTCTCAGCCTGGACAAGGAGGCCAGATGTCACCACCAGGGCTTGTCCCCTATTGCTATCCACCTCCCCGACCCTGCCCCAGCTTACAGAAAGTAGGACAGAAACAATAAGCTGAGGCAGGAATGGCCAGAGTGATACAGTCAGCCCCTGCCTCACCTGCTGGCGCTGGTGCTGGTGGGACATTGCTCTGATACCCCAACTTGGCTACTCAAGTCCATTTCCTCTTCCCATTCTAAGGAGGAATGGGCATGAAGAAGGTGCATTTTGACCTCTTAGTATGAGAAGAACAGTAATTGGAATTAACTGAAGTATGAGAGTGACAAAGGGAGGGGAGACTGAAGCAGAGAGAAGGAGGGTAGTGGTGGAGAGGGAAAGCACTGGACCAGACAGTTCTCCACTTGGCCACCAGGTGGAGCCAGTAGCCAAAGACAGTTTGGTTGCTGCCTGAAAAAGTGGTGTGGAGGTTCAAGGTGGTTGGCAGGTGAAATAGGGTTCAAGAGACTGTCCTTCATATTCATAAGTCCAAAGAGAGAAATGAAAGGGAAAAGGAAAGGAGAGAAATAAGGAAACATTTTGAAAACTACTAGCCATGAGCGAGGTACTTTATCAGGCACGTCACCCATTTTAACCACATTCGAATCTCACAAACATTCTGCAAGACAGGCATTCATTTATTCACTTTTAAACATGCGTCCATCGAGGGCCCAGCTGTATGCCAGGCACTGCTCTTGGGGCTAAGGAGACAGTGAACAAAACAGGCGGACAAGTTCCCTCTCATCGTAGAGCCTACATACAATTTACAGACAAAGAAATGGAGCCCAGAAAGGACGCCAAGTTCCCCCCGTTAGTGAGAACAGGTGCCAGAGGCTGGGATTTAAACTAAAGTTCATATAGCTCCAAGTCCAAACTCTACTCAACCCCATGGCCTGAGGGCTGGCTGTGCTCATGTTAAGGCACATCAGGAAGAATTAGGGCATCCCTGGGCTTGGTCAGGGGAGGGGTACCTGGGAACCCCACACCCATTCTTTTTTGTTATATCACTAGTTTGTTTTATTTTTTAGAGTCCATATATAAGTGATATCATACAGTATTTGTCTTTCTCTGTCTGACATATTTCACTTAGTATAATACCCTCCAAGTCCGTCCATGTTGTTGAAAATGGTATTATTTCAATCTTTTTTATGGCTGAGTAGTATTCCATTGGCTATATATATATCACATCTTCTTTATCCACTCATCTGTCGATGAACACTTAGGTTGCTCCCATATCTTGGCAATTGTAAGTAACGCTGCTACGAACATTGGGGTGCATGCATTTTTTTGAATTAATGTTTTTATTTTTGAGGGTATATACCCAGGAGTGGAATTGCAGGGTCATATGGTATTTCTATTCCTAGTTTTTTGAGAAAACTTCGTATGGCTTTCCATAGCAGCTGCACCAATTTACATTCTTGTCAGTAGTGTACAAGTGTTCCTTTTTAGGAGACTGAGATTTTAACTGAAGAGCTCACTTGTGTGTTCCCTCTCTCTCTCCCTTATGAGTAGTCCCTGAGGCACTAGGAAGAATGACAGGCACAGTGTTGCTTGTCCCCTGCAGGGGAGGGTGGGCTGTATCTCTGGACTGGAGCTGGCACAGGCTTCCCCAAGCCTGCTCATCCTCTGAGACCTGGCTCCCCTGTACCTTCCTGATCATCCCCTATTGCCAGTCTCCCTGTCTAAATCAGGACTTCTCCCAGGTCAAGGGTCTTACCTTTTCCCTTCTGCATCCTCAAGTGCCCACCAGGCCTGGCAGAGGGTAGGTTTGAATGAATGTGGGGGAAAGAATTGAGATGGGAGGCGGGAGCAAAGGTCAAGAAGAAAGTTCCCACGGTGGCCACTCCGGAAGCCTGAGAAACTAGGACAGTGAAGAAAGTCTGGCTTCCCCTCCTCTCCTGCCTGTGCCACGCCCCCACACACGTGACCGTGGCTGGGCGAGGGCTGGTGGGCAACTGCTGGTGGGGGGGTTGTAGAAATGAGAAGAAACCTACTTCCATTTTAGCCAGTGACAACTTCTAAGCACTAAAGACTCTTATTTTTAAGTCACACCCCTTCCATGTCTTCATGACGTCTGGGTGCCCAGCCTGACTGTTTTCATTTTCAGAAGAGTCAGATCAGAGACATTGAGTGTCTTCCCCAAGGCACCTGTCTGTTGGGGGAAGAACTCAGATCAGAACTCCCAGCAGCTGAGAAAACCACCCCTAATCTGTTTTCCATACAAGCAGGCCTGAGCTGTGACCTTCTTTCCACTTTAACGAGGGGCTCGAGCTGGGCAGAAGGGACAGGGCTGAGGGGAGGAGCTGTCTGGGGAGGTGGGGTGGGGGTGGGGACAGCTCCACCTGCTGCTGCCGCCTCAGCTATGCTGGACCCAGGGACCGGCCCCTCCCCTCCTCCACCCCCCTCCCCATAGTTCTCATCCATTGTCATCACACTGTCTCAGCGCTGCTATATTTAAGGCCCGTGCAGGCTCCAAGATCACATTCTTCTCCCAGTCTCCGCTGAGCCCAGGGCAAGAAGAAAACTAGGACCCTCTTATCCTCCGGAATCTTCTCCCCAGAGACACCTCAGTGGGCACGGCTGCTTCTGTGAGTCACCTCCAGGGATCAGGGTTGGGGAGGGAGACCTCCGGACAGTGAGATCCTCAGCTTTCCATTGGGAAATAGTGTGTTTGTGTGTCTGTGTGTGTGTGTGTGTGGGTGTGCGCATGCCCACATATTGGGAAAGGATCCTAAAAAATTTGGAAAGAAAAAGTAGACGTGCTTCGGCATCACCCCAAGTGGAAATGGGAGAGGGTTCTAGGAAAAAATCCCTGCCCCATCTCACTGTTCTCTGTGGCCAAGCGTC